GAACGACCTTTGGGGTCAAATCTGAAGAGATGGCATGTAAGCCTAAAGATTTCATTCTTTCAAAGTTGTTAGCTTCTCCTGACATTAGGTCCAATTTGGGCATTTCGAAAACCTGCATGCTCACCTACGTGGCATAAAGGCATGAGTGTTGCACGAGCTTCTGAGAACGTATTCAAGAAATAAAGTGGAATTGCATTGTATCTGAATGCACAGATCAGAATGGCTGCACGTTATTTTGAGATCACAACACAGTACTTTGTGTCTTTTTGGTGAGTTCCATGCCATAGGTATTGATTAAGACACACTGACAGCTGAGCACATGGGTTAGGGGGGTCATAGAATTGCTTGATAACGATCGCGATTTGTGATTGATGGGTTGTATTCTATGGGCAAGGTCGTTGGTGACTATTGTAATGGAATGAGGTGCATTCAGCGTAATATTTTTTTAGAAAGATCTGACTTAGTAGGGCTTGACAAGTCCCAACATGGCGGCTTGGCCATTGTTTGGGTTGTGTTTTTTCACAGCTCGGTTGTAAAAACCGTCAGTGTGGCATGGCTTCTACGGTCAGGGGCCATTTTTCCAGCTATATGTTGCCCGTGACTTCATTTTACAAAAGAGCTCGTACAAAATCAAAATGCTACAAATGCCCTGCATCTGCCAAGGTTGTGTGTTGTAGACTTCAGCCCTCAGAAATCTCACAAGCAAACAGAACATGCAGACCACAAATCACACCAGAATCGCACCAGAACATTTAAAATTGTGGGCAGCGTCTCCGCAGCCATTTTCTTACAGCTGTCACTGGCCCTCAGTAGTGGTGGTTGAATTTCAATCAGCTGCTTAAGCCCCCAGCAAACACACACAACTTTCACCACAACACTTTTAGCAAATTAGTAATTCGTACACAGAGATCTCACAAAACTGTACAAAACAATTCAGTGTACAAAACTGTGCAAAACAATTTTCCATAGTGAAGGCATTATCAGCCAAAATCAGCGCGGATGCCACAAACATTCTCACAGATCATCAGCAGCCATTGGCGGATTCCCCGTAACTCGGTTTGCGCTCACAGTTACATGGTTGTCAAAGCTTTTTGCTCATTGGAGGTGGCTCTTGGACTGCCACCACATTAGGAGCACGTAAAATGAAGACAGTGCCAGTGAGCGAGCAAACAGATGCAAGAAACGTTTTGGCAGATGGTCGAAAGCCATCCCCATATCCCGCAGAGCTAATCCACACAAGTTGGTTCGCACTCAAAATCACATTATTTGCCTACACTTCTGTGCTTTTCTTTGCTGCGAGCGCACTCGCGATCGCTGAGAGACGCTCTGCCATGGCAAGAGGATCTTCAGCCATCCGACCCATCACCAAACCATTCTTGGCCTTTACCGTTTACCTGAACCTTTTCCCCTCGCGTTGCTTTACCATGGCTGCACTCGCCATTGTTCCATGCTCTCACCGCAATTCCTGTCGCCTCTTCCTCTCCCCGTAGTGCCCATCGCCGCTTGGTCTCCCTGCAGCTCCAATCTTTGCGACTCCCCCACACAGCTCCAATGCTCTCTCTAGCAGCTCGGATCTCTGCTTAGTCTCCCCAGCAGCCTCGATCGCCGCGACTCCTTTCACACCGGGGGTCGCCCCTAGTATGACCGTGGTCTTGTCTGGCGCCAGACTGGTGCCGTCCTAGCTGGTGCTGGCAACACGTCTAATGTACAGAGGGTGGTCAGAATACCCCCTTTTGTCAAATGTACCTCTGCAAAGGACCACTTTTGTCAAGATATCTCAGAGGGGACCCTCTTTGTCATTTTTCCCTATTTTGAAGCATTTAATTATTAAATATTTTATATTTATCTGTTTGCCTGTTGTTTATATTCTGGATATTGATGAACGGATGAATAATTGATTGTCTGTTTGAGCAGTGCATAGAAACTGCTGAATTATAATTCAAGACTTGATACATTGATCAATTCAGTCTTCAATCATTATATTAATGTGAATATTATTCGAGAAATGTATTCAGTGATTGGCTAAATGGACTATTTATTATCCATTTACTTTTATATTGCTGTGCTACCATTGGTGAACGAATTTTTCTCTGGTTGATGTTGCGCATCGAGAATGAGCAGTTTTGTCAGTAAGGTCTGGTGGCACATCCAAAGCTCATGAGCTGCCCTTGAAATGTACCTATTTGAGGAGACATGTAGATGTCGAGCAATGATAAAACGCAATTTTAATCAGGAGCGGTCATCAGAGAGCAGTGCAATATTTGCACCAACAACTATCACTGCTAAATGTTGGTAATCTATCGGTTCTCAAATCTGCCATTGCTGATGTACGTCGCTTCTTTTAATGAGGCGTGACTGAAAGGTAGGTCTAGGAGAAGACGTTGTCTTTTTCCTTCGTCAAGAGTCTTTACCCTAGTGTATATTACCCTGTCGCATCCAAATTTCAGCTTGACGTTTATTTCTTCGCAATTTTTTCAGTGCGCTCTTTGTATTTTTTTGTTGCTCCGTACAAGTTGATTGATTTCTCTCCCCCCAAAGCGCCCCTAAGCGTTGCTACACGGAAAGGTTGAATACTTCGTGGTAAGCAATGATGTATTTGGTATGAATGCCCCATGCATGTTCTACCCATAAGGGCCATGCGGTGTCTGCATGTCTCAAACAATGGACGATATGAGCCTGTATTACCACTTCACTTTGTATGTATATCTCGATAAAATCGCTATCTATGCTTGCCATTCGATGCAACCGGCGACACAAACAATCCAGAATGAATCTGAATACTATCGCCACATACTTTACACTACCATGGTGTGAAAAACGCCGCGCAGTTGTTTCAATCGGATTTATTATTATGATTCCGGCATTTGTCGCTCCAACATGACGTTGACCATTGATGCCAATGGCCCACCTGCAGACGCGGCATCGAAGAACGGCAGAAGCGTCATGCTGCTGCTATTGCTCTGCGGTGCAATGGCTCTTTTGCTTGCATGTGGCTTCCTCAAATTCCATATTCCAGAAGAGTGGGCTTCTTTCTCTCTGTTTGCAAAGGGTGTTTTGACACGGCTCGGCTTCAATCAACCTGGTCCACTTTCAGGTAAGAATGCGGGATTTTGAATCAATCGGCGTCTCAACACAGATCACACCATGGAATTCTCCCCTAAATCATCAAGCAACAGTGGTAGTATGTTTGAATGCGCAAAAATTGAGTGTTGGATTGTTTTGCTGGCTTGCTACGGAATATGTTTGTAAGACCCATAATACGCAAGTTTTGTATGAAAAGGCGTGAACAGCGGGATGCTAAACCTTCGCAAATATCGCGCCTCTCAATAACCAAATTCCAGAGCGACGCTGCACATGACTGCTGTTGATACTGCAAGAAGGAGTTCCATCGAGCTGCAATCGCACAGGAATTGGGCTACAATTGCATGTACATTTGATACAATGCAAGAGGTTTGTATCCCTCCCGGCACACATCTTGATGGCATTTTGCAACTTAGACAGTGTTTGCTCATTGCTATCACCCACGATGCAGCATGCCTGCAGGCCTCTGCTTGACACCCGTGCAGCGAACAGTCTTGCTAATTTGCTCTGTCAGCCAAAGAAGAAGGCCCCTGTGGATGCATGATGTATCCTGAAAATGGCGCGTTTGTGCACTGAATGTGCTGCAGCCTGTGAGCCTTAGTGGAGCAGCCAAAAGCGTCTCACATTGAATAATGTTGAGCAAAAGAGCGGTAATTAACTGTCGGACACATTTTACATTGAAATTCGAATTCATTTTGCCAAGAAAAGTGAAACACTGTTCTGATGGAACAGATGAACTATTCAGATCTATGAAACCGACTGTTGAAGCGATTGCTGAGATGGTATGGCGTGTGCAATTTCTTCTGAGCTTTAATATACAAAGATTGATTGGTTTGTAGTTAGTTTCCAGCAAATACCTGAAAGACTCCCTCCAGATATCATGATTTCTGCTTTCCGATTCTGGATGATCTTAACCAGGCATGTTACTTATGCCTGCGGCACAACTGTTATGTTTACCTTTTTCCATGCAAAACTGCGCACGGACAGAAACGGCTATTGTTGCAGCTACATTTTTTTGCATTTTTGTGGCGTACTGTGATATCCAGACTACATGACGAAAATTGCAATCAATGGTCAGATTTCCTGATGATCTCAAGTTTTCTTCTCTGGCATGAGTAAAGGCACCATTCGCATATAGAAATTTCAGATGGTATCATACCCACCATTCCTTCAAGGTGGTAGAGACATTTGGGCACCTGTTTTTACAAGTGGTGTACAATTGCGTGTCTCTCAAGGAAAACTAACCAATTGGGCGGTGGTGGTAATCTGTGTGTTCTGAACATATCAATTTGCTTTAAACTAAGAAGGTTTGTTTCTCATATTCTACTCACCTGCGTGTGTTGTGTTGTAATGCATACTCATCGCAACACTATTCGCTTGTTATTGCTCGAAAGGTGCAGCGTCATTCTAGTGGCATTCCAGTGAATGGCGACAAAGGAATGGAACTACATGATACTTGATATGTGACAGCAGCATGTTGAGGCGTCACTAGCATACTGCGCTTGCACGTCATTTTTTGGAAAGTACATTTGTGGGAAAGGCTACATTATCATTTTGCCATGCAAGCGCAATTTGGTGTGATACCTATAGTTTTGTGAAAGGCAATACTTAGAGTGCATGATGAGCATAGTCTATCACGATACGTGCGATTGCACAGCATGAAATTTCACACGAATTCACGCACGGATTAAAAACACCTACGCAATTGCAGAACCTGTGGACATGCAGCATGGATGCTTTTTATTGCGTTGCATTGTGAATAATTATCAATGTGTCAGATAACAGTTGTTTTGTTATGTTGCTTCTTTTCTTTATATTTTGGATAAGACTCGCATATTCTGCCTAAGTATATTTTGGAATTCAATTATACAGATTGCTTCCCACCCGAAGAAAATGTCTGCCCTGCGGTTTCTCCAAGAATGGTGGTAAGTTGACTGAAACTCTGCTCTCCTGGTAAGAACTCATATCTATTTATGCTTTAGAAAAGCATATAACCTAACCAAATGTCATGCGCACAAAGACAAAATCTCTCCATTTTTCCAAGGACATACATGCATATGCACACTTGATTCCAGAGACATTTTGTTAGTTTTATTTTGCTGCCCGAGTCTTGAAGATGCTGAGCGAGTTTGCAGTAATTGCCAACGAGCAAAGTGAGTGGAGCTTTATGGAACAAAAATGTGGTTTTGGCTGGCCGCTGACAGCCAACAGCCAACCTCCAGCCGCCACTCAACCACACACTACCCATCCCCGGGTTTCCACGTGCCTCTTGCCATGCACATGCTGCGCATGGCATGGGCGCCGGTTGCCCGCTCACGCCCATTCCTGGGCTTCCTTGGCCAGTGCACAGGGCACAGCCGTCGCATGGCATGAGCACAGCGTGGGCACTAATCTGCCTCCTGCTGGCTTCCCCTATGTTTCCATCACCATGGGGCTCGGTGGCCTTTGCTTAAGCTTGATTAAGGGAGGGGGCCTGGACAACCTCTGGTACATGCAGGACACCTCTGGTACATGCATCGCGAGAAGTGCGTGGTCGTTTTGTGTCATGCATCCACCCATTATGGCCATTGCATTACAAAGCATGGGTGGGGTTCCACGACAGGCGTTGTGCATACCCCTGACCACTGACTAGCAAGGGGTTGAGGTACAACGGGCAGCATGAACCAGGCAGCGCTTGGGCGAGTAGCCTGAGGTGGCGACTGCCATTGCTGACGACCTTGGGCTCCAGTCGTGGTCGGGAGAGGGAATGGGGTGGGATGGAGGGTTGGGGGGTGCCCAATGCAAAAAAAAAACTGTTCAAGGCGATGGCTGCAACTGGTCGCTCACTACGATGTTCACTTCAAGCAAGTTGAGCAGCCATTTTGGGGTGCCTCTTGGCTGTAGACTAGAACGAGTGGTAGTTTTTAGGAGAGGGTGGCAGGCAGGTGAGCGGGCTTGGGCTTGTTCGATCGCCATATTCTTTCACTTTAAAAATGCATGGCAGCTTGGGTGCATGCTTTGAGGGGCCTCCTTGGCCGCCATTTGGAGGCGAGTGGTATGGGGGGCGGGGGGTGGGGGGGACGCTCCAACAACCAGGGTTACGGCACTGCTCTACAATGTTCAGAAAACATAACGGGTGTCTCACAATATTGATATCCCCTTAGGATCCCCCAAAAGAAAACAAATTCCCACAGAATTGTTTGTTTGCTTAGTGGAGACTTGCAAAAGAGCAAGCCCCTAAGTCCCCAACACAATCGAATATCCCACTCATGGACAAGAAACTTACACCTTGCGTCAACTTTACAGCTTGTACATAATTCTCTTGGATATTCTTTTGCAAGGCAAGATGGTCCCAATTCTCCTTGTACTACCTGCCTTGTGTTTCCTAAACTCTAAGTACCCAGGTTCCAAGCACTGCATGTCTGAAGAGAGTATTGAGAGGGGCTCATAAGCTGACAAGACCCGGCCATACCCTGTTTCTCCATGGCTCCTCAAATGCAATGTCCGTTCTATCTTTGGGGCCCTTTATCTACAATTTGCCCTTCCTAGCCATGGGCTCAATCAGCAAGCTTGAGCCAAGGCACAGGGGGGAATGCCTAGCGGTCATGGATTTTTGCCCTCGTGTAATAGGCTAACAGATACAATCTCCTTTACTGATACGGTATGCCACACCCACACAACATAGTGTCCCCACCAAATTGAGCAGTACAAGCCTCGATTTATTGTGGGAACCCTCAACTGCATCAAACCACCTCTTGCCACAAACACACACAATGCCCTTTCTTTGGATACCTAGTATATTGGGAGTCATTAGGAAAGTTCATAAGGGGACCTTGACCACCCCCTGTGGTAATGTGGTAGCAACCCGTTGGTTTCTTGTTCTGCCGAGCGGAGCTCGGCCCGTTGCCAAAGTCGTGGAGGCCGTATGTGGAGCGAAGCGGAGCAGGCCGGAACGACTTCGGCATAAGGGCCGAGCGTAGCAAGGTCTTTAGCCGGAAAATGGGTTCGGCCAAAATGGAGTTTCTTAATGAAAACAATGACTTCCATTATTTGGCCACCACATATAAGAGCGCCAGGCAGCGGCGCCGATTGTAGTTCGATTGTTTTGGAACAATGCCTCCCTGCCTCCTCAAGCGCAGCCGCCGCGCGCCTCGGACGGGACCGCACAGAGCAGCCGTTCCTTCACTTGAGTGCAATGCACGGGTGTGGCATGGTGTGGGTGCTGGCCTGCCTCTAGCTGGCTGGCTTCCCCTAGGTTTCCTTCAGCGGCACACAACTTGTTGACCTGGGCTGATGATTTTTGGGGAGGAAGAAAGCAGCACAATCTCTAGTACCATGCGATCTATGCACATTGTGACATGGCTGCTTGGGGTTAGGTATTATTGGCATTTATTGGAAAAGGAATCACTAACCAACCCTTTGGTAGGCTTGTTCAGTTCTTGATATTCCTGTGCTTTTGAAACGCCCAAGTCCATTAAGTATTGGCAAAGTTGTGGCCTTACAAAGTGGTAGCACATAGGGTTGTGGAAGGATAGGGCTAGTATTTAAGTTGAGGGAGAAATGGGTCAATCGTGGGTGAACGGGGGACTACAATGATGTGCCTTGACATGCACTATGTTGTCTTGTCTTGATATGACCACAATGGACCCACGATCAGGCATCACAAATGCAATATGTGCGTACGCATGCAATGAATTGATATAACTCTCTTTGGCCCACTCTCCAGCCCACAATCTAGCAAACCACCGCCATGCTGCACCACCACCTCTTGCCAACAACAGGCCCTGGGGATCAATCCCCATCGAGCATTGGGCCCACCATGCGACCAAGAAAACTATTACCCCAGATATGCCCACCATCCGAGGTTTAGAGGTTGGCTGACCGCGAACAGCCAAGCTGCAGGGTAGGGCGACACCAACTCCTCAGAAACCAATGGCCACTAATGGGCCGCAACAAACATTGTCACTTTTCCATATTACCCACATATTTGTCATGGGTCAATATGACAACAAAGGCCAAGGGCAAACACTTTGCAACAACAACGTGCACGCCCTTGACCACAGATTGGCAAGGGTGTGTGTGTTTGTTGGGGGAAGGGGGGGGGGAGCATAAACTAAGCTACATTGGGGCGAGTGGCTGGGGTGGCGATTGCCATTGTCTATGGCCTTGGATTAAGGTACGTTTTGGAGGGAGGGTGGAATATGGTGGAAGGGCGTAGGGCATGCTTAATTTAAAATGAGGAAATGACAAAATGGGGTCCTTTGTGAGATATCTTGATAAAAGGGGGTCCTTTCGCCACCTTGTACATTAGATGCGTAGCTAGACCGGTACTAGACCGGCACTGGCCGGCAAACCTGGTGTCGGCGCGGTCCCCTCTTGGCTGCATCTAGGTACCCTGGCCCGTGCTCTAGGGCCTCTCCGGTGGAAGCGTGGTCATTCTCGGCCGGGCGGCATGTCCCAGGCTCTCTTTGGCCCGTGGGTGACGGCCGCTGTGTGTGGTCCCGTCCGAGGCGTGTGGCTGCTGTGCTCAAGGAGGCAGGGAGGCTCCATAACAACTGATTGCTATAATCGGCGGCGCCGCCAGGCGCTCTTACATGTGGCGGCCAAATCATCAAAGCCATCATATTCATTAAGCGTCTCCATTTTGGCCATACCTATTTTCTGGCTAAAGGCCTCACTACGCTCTGCCCTTATGCCCAAGTCGTTCCGGCCTACTCCGCTTCGCTTTGCATACAACCTCCACAACTTTGGCGATGGGCCAAGCTCTGCTCAGCAAAACAAGAAACCAATGGGTTATTACCACACCTGGTCGTATTAGGGGCAACCCCACAGAGGATATTCTTTTGTGAATTTCCCTCTTGGAGGTGTTGTAGGGGCTTGTGGGTTCACCCCAATGCCATTTAAATGACCCATCCCTGCCCTCGGTGTTTCAATTAGATGCAATTGGTCTTTGTAGAAGTATACAAATCATTATAAACAATGAAATGGTTGTGTTGCAGCTTCAAAGTTATTAATGGATGACTTTTGGGGCAAAATCTGAAGAGATGGCACGTAAGCTTGAAGATTTCATCTTTTAAATTCATTACTTTTTCGTTATGTTCAGTGCAATCTGGGTATTGCAAAGCATGCATGCTCACCTGCGTGGCTCAAAGGAGTGAGTGTTGCATGAGTTTCTAAGCATGTATTCAAGAAATGAAGTTGACTTGCATTGGATCTGCATGCATGAAGCAGAATGGCTGCAAGTTGTTTTGAGATGACAACACACACCATTAGAAAACATTCTGTTTGCAATGCTAAATGCAACGCCATTTTGGCACAAATTGATGCCATCACAGCTCCTTTTATGCCATCGTTATCACTGTAGTGGCACCATTTTGTGTCAAAATAGCATCGCATCTGGCATCGCAAACATGACATTTTCTACCAGTGACAGTGCTTTGTATTTTATGGTTAGATTCATGCCATAAGAGATAACTGAGTAGCACTGATGTCTCGGCACATGTGTTAGGAGATTGTAGAGTTGTTTGACAACATTTGAGATTTATAATTGATGGATTGTGTTCAATGGGCAAGATCGTTGGCAAAAACTGGCAATACAACATGGTTCTGCTCTCAAAGGTCATTTTTTAAGCTGCAAATGACTTTATTTTACAAAAGAACTCTAGCAAAACAAAGTGCTAAATGCGTTCTGCATCTGGCAAAGCTTGTGTTTTGTAGACTTCAGCCTTCAGAAAGCCCACAGACAAACAGAATATCTAGACTGCAATAATCGCACCAGAAAATCCAGAGCCGCTGGGAGCATCTACGATTGTCATTGGATCACCTCTTGCTCTCCCCATGACCCCGATTGCCACTTGGTCACCCCCGTTAATCCAATCGCTACGACTCCCTCCCACAGCTTCGATTGCCGTGACTCCCCTTCACACCCCGATCGCCGCGGCGCCCTCCCAGAGGGATCGTCCCTAATAGGACAATGGTCCTGTCTGGATCTAGACAAGAGAAAGTATGGCACCGGTCTGGAGCCGGTCTGACCCTGTCTGGCAACGTGTCTAATGTATGGGGGCAGATTAGAGGACCGCCTTTTGTCAAATGTGTCCCTGCAGAGGGCCTCCTTTTGTCACAGAGGCGCCCCTTTTGTCATGATATCTCACAGAGGACCCCCTATTGTCATTTTTCCTTTTAAAATTCTATTCCTGGCGATGGGCCCGATTGGTCGATCGCAGTGATCTTTCAACTCAGGCAGGCTGGGCAGCCGCCTTGGGGTGCATCGTGGCGTGTTCCTGGCCATAGACTGGAAACGAGGGGCATCCAGTGGAAACGGGGAGGGTCCCAATTTAAGAATTTGAATTGGTGGCGATTCGCCCAATGGGCCAATCACCATGACCTCTCACTTCAAAAACACTTGGCACCCTCATTGTAGCACTGTAGGGTGCTTCCTTGCCCGCTGGCTAGTAGTGAGTTAGGTTTTGGGATAGAGGGAGGGGAGGTGGGTAAGGTCAAATTTGTGATGATCGTCCCAATGACCAGACTGCCCCAACCTTTCATTTCAGCGAGTTGTTTTGGCATCCACTGGGCGGCTGCCTTGGAGTGCACATTGTGCACTCGCTTAGAAGAAAGTGGGTGGGATGTGCAGGGTGCCAGTTTTTGGAGTTACCACTGATTAGCAATTTAGCCACCACAATGCAAAGCACATGCAGCGTGTGCATGCGCGCCACTCAAGCCAGCATGGTTGCAGAAGCAATATGTGTTTTGGTTTAGTGGAGTTATTGGCATTCTTGACCATGCCTCCGAACATGTACGCAACAGGTCTTGCATGATACCAGTTGTGTGATGCAAATATTGTATGTTTTCTCCAGTGCTTTTCTGTTAGCACTGCTATGTTAGAGCTCAATGCGCAGATTACAATTACAGAAGCGTTGGACCTAGTAAGAGTACTTTGGGACTTGGATGGTCAATACACCGGGCATCCAGAAATTTGGTAGACGTTGATGCAGTGTTGATGGAGGTGGATGCATGGGATTCATTTCAAACAAATGTTGTCAACATTGGTGAACTGCACTTGAGACAATGGCTCTGTGATGTTGGTGCTTATCGAACCTCCAACAAGGGGTCTTGATGCAACATCCCAGACAAGTAGTATTGTAGCAAATGGTGCATCAACAATCCCCTCTGTCAGCCTTCTTGTACATCTGGAAACTTTTTGGTAGGCTTCGATGTAACATTGATAGGCTCTTGTATCAACCCTAACCTTAGAGCTCGTGTCTGTAAAGCGGCACTGATGCAACGATCTATCAATCCTGCATCAGCGTCCAGCAAATCCCAATTTCGGGAGTGAGCCTTGGGTGAGAATAACGTTCCTGGTTATTGCACTAGTCCAGCAATTGTGCAGCACAAAGCCAGCGCATCGAAAAAAACACTTGACGCAAATGTTTCTAACTCTTTGTGTCGCGCTCAGGGTGGGAGTGACGCTCCTGAAGGAAGGTTCCCGTACATGGTAACTCTGAGGACCCACAAAGATGAGCACTTTTGCGGTGGTATTCTCATCCACCCGAGCATGGTCTTGACAGCAGCTCATTGCGTCGACGAGTATTCGGGGGTGGCGAGGAGAAATCGCTCGGCACACATTGGAGCACATGGCATTGATGATAACGAGGATCATGGTGTCAAAGTATGTGTCCGCTGTAATTTGTGGCTGATGGTGTTGAAATTCTATCTTGAAATGCTATTACTCCAAGTGCTCTATGCGTACTTTGCTACAATGGCCTTTCGTGAATGCGTCAATTTATTCGATGCTCGATGGAAAATATAATTTATTGAAATTACAACAAGGCCAATACTCATGACAAATCGATATACGCATATTTCATCAGGCAAATTAGGTTACTTCAGCATGACACATACTGGGATTTCCTGGCATACACTTTGAAACACTGTCTTCTAATTATTGAGTGATGTTGTCAAGACCGTGGTATCCACAAACTATTGGTTTAACACTTTTGCAGCATGGGCGCAGGGCTGGCCCTTTACACAGTGCCTCACTTTGTCAGTGGCCTGAATGATAGAGGGAAGATGTTTTGGCATGGTTTGAGCAGAGCAGCAACACTCCTTGGCAGCTGCAACCCGTCGCAAAGCACGAACTAGAATACAAATCGTTGACTCTTTTTTACATAATACCTGCAACGGACACGCCTGGATTGATGCATACATTAGCCGTTGTAGTTCGACGCACCGCAAGCTGCGCTTACTAACGCACGCCTCGCCAGTCTCAGTCGTTAAAATGCGCATCTAGGGGGATCTGGGACTTGCCAAAATGAGCCATATCTTCCCCTCACGCTGTCAATGTGCAACACGGACAAGAAAGGGATCCACAGACAAACCCATTAGAAGAGAAGCCACCCTGCAGCTCCAGGGCCAATTCCTCCACCGTAGCTATATGAAGACCACTGGGCACAGCACCAGGCATGCGCACTTGACAGCCCCCTGCCTGCTTTAGAACTGTGATCCCAGTCAGGTTGAGACCATTCTCACGACAATCTGTTGCTTGGCGTGTGCGGGATGGCCTTGCACGACCCCCCAGATGCGCACTTGGCACCGCCCCCAGCCTGCTTGAGAAATGTGCTCCCAGCCAGGTTGAGACCATTCTCATGGCGAGCTGTTGCTTGCCATGTATGGAATGGCGTTGCACGCACTCCACTGCTTCTTGGAGGCGGTTCTGCTCTTCACCTTTTGCATACACGGGTCTGCAGCATTACTGCTCAAGGATGCCCAAAGGGGACTTTGTGTTGTGGCCACCCGATCACGATGGCACGGGAGATGCGCGTTGGTGTGGGCCACGTGTCATGTGACAAGGGCGTCGTGACGCCAGGGCGCAGCCCTTTGGGGTATGTGCGGGCGGCAGGCAATGATGGGGCTGGCAAGGGGGCCTGTTTGTGAATAAGATTTTGCTTCCCTGTGGCCGTGATGCTGGGCTCCCTTGGGGTGGCCAAACGAAAGTCGATATGGACAGCAGGTTTTCTACCAGGCTCGCAGCCTGTGTTGCTGCTGCCCTGCTCGTCAATCTGTGCCAGCGAAATTGCAACTGCGTAGGCTGTGCCTTCCACCCCACACCCGGTTGCCAATTGCTATTGGGACAGCTCCTGCTGGAGCCGCCAGCCCCACAAGCAAGCATGCTAGGAAAACCCCACGTCTGCTTGTGAATAGGTGCTCCCAATTTGTTTGAGACTGTTCTCGTGGCGATCTTTCCACTTGCCATGTGTGGTGGCCTTGCACGTGCCCTGCCTGGGCACAGCCTACTTGAGAAAAAGTGCTTCCACTTTGGTTGACACCATTCTCATGGCGATCATTTTTGCTTCCCACCCACCCAACCCCATGCACACCTGGGAATGCACCAGTGCACGAGACTGCAGGCTATTACTTGATCGGGCGCTTTTTTCGTTTCACGCATATGGGTTAGGGATTCGCCCAGAGTGGCTGCACCGGATCGTCCAGTGGCCGAAGGGTCAGGGTCTGACTGCTGGGCCACTGGGCCCGGTGGGCCACTCACTAGGCGTTCGGGGGGAGGGACCCAGCGGTAGTGGTGTCTTTCATTCTCAGGACATGGAACACAGGTTGTCTCGGGTAGATGTCACACTGAACGAGGCTTTGGGGGATGACTTGGCCTCGCGCTTTTTTATATGCCGCGCTCACATCAGGGACTCGCCCGGAGCCGCTGCACCGGATCGCCCGGTGGCAGCAAGGCCAATCCAGTCTGGCCGCCTGGCCACCGGGCCCGGCGGGCAGCTTGCGAGGCACTGGGGGGGAACCCAGCAGTAGTGGATTTGTATTTTAGGTAGCGTCACTACAAAACTGGGAATTGTGAATGGATCTGGATGCTGGGCCCCATCTCAAATTTTTGAGTTATACCAGATATTATGTAACGAGCAAATGAATGGGTTTCAATCATCTCCAAGAACCATAAGGTCCCGCTGCTGGCTGATCTGACTCGCCCTGAGAAAAGAGGCCACAACGGTGAACCGATCTCGAGTGATGGACGCGCCCATTCCTGTTCCCGTACAGGAACAGCGCAGAGCCCGTCATGCCCTTTAGCATTCCGCCCACCTCATCACATTCCTAACATAATGCGCAAGTCCACGTGGTTCCTGCCTGCGTATGGATATGGAGTGGTTGAATGTTGTAACAGCCCCGCACTCGCCAGAACGTGTTGAACCCTCCATGAAGGGGAAATGGAACATTTTCCCTTAATATCTGGATTTGCGTCCTTTCATTCGTATCGTATATTCAAATGTGTTTGGACATCCTATATCCTAGATCTGCATATCCCGAACATGTTCCCCAATCCAGCATACGGACATGCTCTGGGTACAAACGTGCAATACACTTGCATTTTCCTTTAGCCACATCAGCACCAAACTTAGAGATTCCAATGCTTCTTGCTGTACAGCTCCTGTTTGCACGATTGAATGCCTTCTAACTTACTGTTGCTGCAATGTGCGTCTTTGTGTCTATAGACAGTGAGGATCGACAAGACGACGATTCATCCCAACTACACTGCAGGACACTGGGAAAGCGGCTACGACATAGCTCTGCTGCGTTTGAAGGAAGCAGTCATGGGGATTGACATACCTGGGCTGGCGGATCCTCACCTAATCTTGCACTGCGAGATGATGCTATTCACCCTAGGGTGGGGTTACCCCAACTCGTCGTTCTGGTCCTTATCCGACAAGCTACAAATGAGCACCCACGGGCAGGTTCTTGGGAGCCGAGCACGCTGCGCCATAAATGAAGACCTTCAGCTGTGCATGAAAGCCCAAAGGCCTCACCATGAAAATACATGTGAAGGTAAGACGACATCTGAGGTGCACCTGTGGACTCATGTTTTAACTAAATTCTTCTGGTGCATCACTAAAATCTGTTTTTATGGCTTGTGCTAAAATTAATACTGAATTTTGAGCATATTGACAAGTTTTATTATACTGCCTCTGTATTGTGAATCTTGCCCGATCTCAAATTGGAAGCCAAAACGTTGCAAGTCAGAAAATTTGACCAAGCGACTTCGCAGAGCTACTCGTAGAGCTCTTTAACGTTCCAAATGATGCTGCCGTTCTTTTGATATGTCAAGAGGAGCTGAAATACCATTTTTCAGATTTTCCAAGCATTGCATGTACAACACGTTTGCCTTGCTCTTAAAAAGAGCTTGGTTGATTTGAGCTGTTGCAAGAGAGTTTTGCGCTTTGGTGCCCGCTGAAGATTCGGCTTGATGCCATACAGAATCTGCGTAGAAAAGGATTCGAGTTCGTTTCAGAAAATAAAGGTAATAGCAAAAACTGCATGAAAGTGATTGAAAAATGCCAGGAGACACCATGGTCACTGCAATAGCGTCAATCTTTCAGATGCACCAAGGTTTTGAAGGCTGCACATACTTGCCATCAACCAAGAAAACGGCCAAGATTAAAGCAAAAGCCGTCAATTTTGTAAACAAGAATGTTGGCACGATTCAGCATATTGGAAAGGATGGTCCCCCCAAAGTGTGATAGTAATGGTACAAAAATATTGAAAGACTGTAGTAGTACCTGTATATTGTCTACAACAAGACTCGCAATGAAGCTTGGCGAATTGCGTTGGGGCATACCAGAATATGGCCAATGCAATGTTGCACTGTTAAATGTGGGGAATTGAGGGTCTGCATGGAATCGAACAGGGATGTTATTGAAAATATTGTCAAATTCCATGTTGTGTGATGGTGGAAAACATAACAAAGATCCATATCAACCTAAAATCAACCAAAGAGTGCAACTATGGTGGCATATTTATTGATTGAGACCATCTTACCAAGTTCTAGCAAGAATTCAAGAGCGGACATGACTTCTAAAACGGAGGTAGCATCTTGGCAAATTCAATAGACGGAAGAAAGAACTTATGAACGGGTAAAATGAAGCACATGGATATCAAGTGCACAAATCAATGCTGAATTGAAAACCGAAACTGAAACTGAAACCACATAATTTCCTCATTAGGTAATCCTCATCTATTGCATTCCCGTTTTAGGACAATCACACTCACTGAAGCTGACTTCTGCTAGGTTAACACAAATATAGCACACGTTGCAGAAGCTCAGAGTGACATACCCAGAAGTGCTGCTGTTACACCAAGTTATTTCTAAATTTCAAAGTTGGGTGTCAGTGAAAGCGAAATTCTCATATCGGAATTTTGCAATGAGCAAGCATAAACCAGCTAACGGTAGTTTACAGGTGACAGTGGTGGTCCAGCATTAATACCAGATATGCCAGGACGCGATTTCGTGATTGGAAGTCCAAGGAAGGACCTCATTGTGGCAGTTACTTCGTACGGCCCGGATTGCAGCCATCCCAACAGCATTGGGATCTACACGAGGTTGAGTGCGATGAGAAACTGGATAGACGGAATTATGGAGGTGACAGGGTGGTGCTTGCTGGTTTCGATTTACATTTCTCTGTCCAATCAATTATGGATATTGCCCATTGGGTAGCTATACTCTGAAGACATCGACGGTCACTTTAAAGACTATGCATCAGATATGTTGTACTGCCTACCTGCAGATCTCCATGACAATCCCGCACAGACAAGCAGAGACAAGCAATTATGAAACGGGCACAATATATTGCATTGATGCCTCTATTATCCTTCCTTCACATGAAACAAGAAAGTGCGGCAGTTGTGCTGCAACGGCATTGTGTTCCTTGTGGCTTGAAGACTTGTGATTATGCTAGAATATTAGCGGCATCACTGTAAATTGTTGAAGTGCATCTCACGGTAATTCTGCTTCTCTGTTGCTCATAAAGTTATTCAGATCTGGAAACACATATACAGTAAAGCGATTTGCACTCTGCAACTTATCCTCATGAAATTCTTGATGTGGGCGATCCACCAATTTCAGCAGCCGATGATTCCTGACAAAGTCTGCTCGGTCCTTTTTTGCCAATTCTCATTCCTAACATCTTTGTGAATTTCCATGATGTACCAATTCCTGCTGCAGTATGGCATACACTGAATTAAATACTGGAGAAATACTTATGGTATATTTCACAATGTTTATAGGTGGATTTCGGCCAGTCTTCGGCAGATACATCGAGTACCATGCCTGATAGGATCCCAGGTCCTGGTTCCCGCCAAGGAGCCTGTCTGTTCTGCTGGGTAGGCCCATTTGTGATCCTATACCATATTCTTCATTTGATCTAAATATTATGGTGCACTCAAATGGGTCTGAAGTACTTGCTACTGTGGCTGCCATTGTTGTGGTAGTTCAGGTTTTTGCACTTTGATTTAAAATCGCCATTGATGCATTGATGTCGTATTATCCGTGGCCCTTGAATTCCAGTTCTGGCGTTTCCAGTCACCAATCAATATCTTTGCCATTGCAACGGAAAGCTCGTCGAACAGTGGATGCTTTCATCCTGAAAATTTCCTTCAGTAAATTTGGTATGAACTTCAACGCATCGTGCGTCGTTTACAGTAATGAATCCCCCTCGATTTTTTGTCTGCATTTGAAGTTTACTTATTCCATTTTAAATGGTTCTTTAGGTCTCTTTTCGATGGCATCAAAGTGTCGTTCAAGGGATGATGATTTTTCTCAATTTAACATGGGAGAAAGTGAAAGACAGCAAGACAAATCAGGAGACTTTGTTCAAAGTCTTCACCAAAGAAACAGCAAGTAGAGCTGGAATTGGAGAAGATCGGATTGTCATCATGGCCATCAAGAGTGTCGAAGGCAAAGTAGGGTTGGAATACAAAGTAAGTTGACGCAGATTGAGCTGCAATGTACTAAACGCCTGCTCCATGGAACTGATATGAATTCGCAGATCCAGTAGAATATGTAAATTGAAGTACAGTCGCATCGACAAATTTCAGCCAATAATTTCAAAAGGATTGCTCAGAGCCGTGCATCAAAAACTGAGATTCTTTGCAGATTTCCTTGAAAGAAGAATTAACAGGCAGAGAAAATGTTCATACAAAATGCTATACATAAAATCAACGGCTAGGTTCAATTGAATGAGGCGAAAAGACATACCGTTGTACTGACTTCGGCTGGTTTAGAATGAATACTTCCTCCGTCCGGAATTAGTTGTCTTTTATTTGAGAGACAAGTTTGGTAAAAAAAACACTTAGAATTTACAAAAGAACATCAGAATCGAAAAGATTGGGTTGCGAAACCCTTAGCTACCAATTTTCAAAAGTTAGTGCCACCCCTCTGAAGGGCCCCCTAACTTGGCTGAAATTCGTCCAAAACATGTGCGTGTCGATTCCGCATCCGCTAGAGATCCGCACTTGTATGGGTCGCTCCCGACCTAGGTATGCCAAAGACAAGTCGTTCCCACCTTTGCGGTGAAGGGCGGCAATCCTTACTTAGAACAGCGCTTGCCAAACATGCTCGAGCGTATTTGGCTCCCCATTGCAGAAGGCCATCATCGCAGTTTTCACGATTTCTGATATCTTGGCCATCGTCGATCTTTGACGTGCGGACATAAAGCAAGCGGACAAGTGTAGGGTCCAAGGCATTAAAGCTTGGACTGTGTGCAAGCCATTGTTTCAAGGTTATGTAACAGACTTGCTTGGACAATCTGCCTCGATTAAGGCTTGAATCGTTGCTTTTGTGGGCAGCCTGGCCCCCACCCCACAAACTGCCACGATCTACCAACTCTTGCATGCAATCCACAATCCACCGCAACCCAGCAAGTGTGACTTCCTTTGAGAGACATAGTTTTATCCATCTAGCTAGTCTTCTCATGCTCAAGCCCTTCAAGTGCCGAAAAATGGTCGATTCACCATTCTTGTCCCGGAGGGCCACTGCCTAATTGCCCCCTAATTGTCCGTTGCTGAATGGGGCGATGGCCACCACTTTCCTAAGGGTCTGCGAGGATCTTGGGAAGCCTCCTGAAGTATCCCTCATAGGGACTTGGAGGTCCAAAAGTCGTCGTTCAGAAATTTGGACCTGATGGGCATCGCTAATTTGGCCAATCGAGCTTGAATTGCACCCGCAAGACATGGCGACTTCCCCGATCAGAACTTTCAAGACGCGTATTCTGTTGCTCTTCTCCTTGGCAAGCACCTCCACAATCTTTTGCCCAAACGGCATGGATAGTTTTGCCCGGGCGGCTCTGTAGTGCTGCTGCAAAGGCGTGGTCCGCAAAACAGCGAAAATGGCCATTCCAGCAGGGATGTTGAAAAACTGGTGGGTTTCTGGCTGGATTACCCTCGCTACAAAATGCTGCCAAATCCGCAATACTCAACAGATTGACTTCAAACTTTGGCTGCATACTCTCCAACATAGTTATAGCTTTGCAAAAAATTTGAATGAGAAATAAAGTGTATATGATAGAGAAGTAATGCACCAAAGTCATAAAGGACAATAAATTCCGAACGGAGGATGTACTTACTTTCTTTCGTCCTTTAATCGCATTCTTGCCATTTTCCATGTGTTGTCACATTGATTTACATTTGAATTACAGTCTGCTCTCAATGCTCAGCACATATGCAGGCCGCAGAAACGCAAGATGTATTGCTGACCAGTGTCCTATTCTGCACATTACGTTCCAAAGGTTGCTGTGCATTTTCTGGTGCAGATGGACTGTGCAGCAATCGGCGCAATAATATGGCAATATGTACACCGATGCAATTGCTTAAATTTAATACGTGCCGAATGAGCATGAATGGATTGCATTATTTCATATCTGGCGATCTTCGTAAATCTTCAAAATAGCTTGCATTTCAATGTTTTTTGACTGAATGCAGCTCTGTGCTCTTCCTGCGAAATTGCCACAGGTTGTTTTCCCAAAACCCATCTGGCCGTTGGAGAATTCTCCCACAGGCAGCCGCGACGCCGACAGATTCTTGGTGGCAAGCAGCCGAAAGCATTTTGGCGACGGTTACCTCAAGGAATACGACCTTGACGAAAATAGCCGGATGCGGATGCAGTGGTTCCAGGACGTCGATGCTAAAGATGCATTCGGAAATCTCCCTGTGCACCGCTCCAATCCAGATTCGCAAGTGAGATGAAAGCGCATCTTCAAAGCCTGTGAAGTTTTTTATACCCCTTGCTGTTTTGTACAGCGACAATTTCTTCATTGCGGGAAAGATTAGAAATTCAGACAGTTTGCCTCATCGCGCAAATAGGCCGTGCATCGCAACTATTGCTCATGGGTTCTTGATTTGGTCAAGAACTTGTACGCAGCTTCATTCTACACTGTCTAGTGCATAGCCGTTGCGAATGGCACATGTGGTGCATTATTTATCACAAAAGTTTGCTAAACGCGAAATTTACAGAATTGAAATGTGCAAGAAATTCCTGCATGTTGTGAATTCTAGCCACGAATGACCTTTGGGTTGCTGGGGCACGAGCAAAGCAAGTTTAGGCCGACCGTGCACACGTAGCACTGTTGCAAAATTCTTAGCTGGGGCGTGGCACCAATCTCCATTCCAGAGAGCACTGGACTAGCTAATGCAGCGTGGCGCCTCTTGAGTCGATCCCACGTCTGGGCGCGAGCGCAGCAACCACGGCTCAGAACCACCATCCATAGATTGTCGCTGGGCGCCATTGCCAAGCACATGGCAACAGGGCACCTCGCAGGCTTCCAACACGGTGATTCCGACGCATGCGTGACTAATATCATGCTTTGCATTTACATTTACGGCACCATTTTTGCCTTTGAGTTTTTACATTTGTGCGTGCTATTAAAAATGGGTAAAACCAGAGACGTTCAAATCTACATATTATTGCGTATTATACGGCGCGTCGACATATCCAGTTTCTGCGATGAAGTCGAAACAATCATCAGTCCACCCAGTCCCTCGAGCACCCACAACACAGCATCCGCCCCGCCCTCGACAGGGACGGTGAGGTCGTCGAACAAACTTTCGTCCTCTGTCCACTACAGTGCGTCTGGCTGCCGACTCCCGGGCCCCTGAGTCTGGGAGTACTGGCTCTATGCACACAGAGACAATATTACGTAATTTTAGGCGTCTTTGTGCATGGAAGGAAAAGCAAAAACAATCTCTATGATCAACTCTGCGTAGACGCATTGTGTTTACGCCGTACAGACCAAACCTGACTAGCATTAATGGGTCACCGCACAATCTAGGAGACTGAGCACTTGAGTCTACATCGGTCCCGAAACGTGCCCCCGTATGTTTGCAGTCACGCTCGCTTGGGTTGTGCTTGCCATTGTCCGATGCTTGCAGTGGCGGGTGCGGTACGTCCCCTGGCCACACGCCAGCAGGAAGGCGATGTGCGGCAGGCAGCAGGGACTGGGCGGCGCCCAGGCGATCAGCAGACTGGTGGGGGATTGGGGTGGGGTGGGGAGGGGGGTGAATGGGCCAAAGGCATTGCGGGCCTGCCTGTACATTGGCACCCCCCGGCCTTTCATATTAATCGACCGCCCTGGCAATATGGCCCTGTACGTCGGGGTTGGTGTGGTGGGGGATGAGGGGAAAAGAAAGGGGACCTGTGCTGCGCGTCACCTGGAATAGGCTGGGCTCATCGATGGGAAATGCGTTCTAGCCATAGCTTGCGGCTGAATTCAATGCCCTCCAGATGGATCAAAGTTGCATTCCAGGCCCGAATTTTCGGGCAAGGGCTTTTGTCTTCTGCCAGGGCCGTCAAGACAACATAGGGCGGCTCTGAGTCCCCTCAGCGAGGTGACAGAAATTGCGAAGCCCATCACCGCATTCAGCTGAGGCCAATTGTGGGAATTGCTATTTACATGAGATTTGCAATATTGGCTTTGCCGTGGAATTTCAAACGGCTGGACACAAAGAGAACGGCTAGATGGCCAACGCCGTCTCTCTTTCATGAACGTAGACTAGACAGGCGGTCATGGATTGTGGACTGCAAAAAAGAAGTGGCTGCTGGTGGCAATTCATGGATCGTGGGCGAAGTTTCCGGCTAAGGCCTCGATTCAAGGATCAATCGAGGCAAGATATACATGCCAAGCCACTATAATATCTTTGAGCAATATATAGCACTCAAACGCCCTAGATGTTGGCCTATTCAGTGCGTGGCAGGTCCTTGCATTTTGGATCCCGGGGGACAGCCATTTATGGCATGTCGACATCGCGACAATGGTCTTCTGCCATGACGCTCTAGACACCTTCGAGTGTGTTTGACAAGAGCTATTTCGCGTGAGGGACGTTGCCCTTCACTGCGGCAGGGGCGATCCCCTTGGCTGCCAGGGATGGGAGCGACCCAGAACCGCGTGGATCCCAAGAGGAATCGGAGTCAGCGTGCAGATTTTTTCTTGCAAATCTTGGGCAATTTTGGGGGTTCCTATGAAGGGGTGGGACAGGCGTTTTGCTCGAAATTGGTAGATGAGGGATCTAGGACCCAGTATTTCTGATTCTGATCTTTTTTTAAAATTTGAGACATTCCTTGTCGCAAATCTCGTCTCAAATAGAAGACATTTAATATGGAACGGAGGAGGCAGGACATGGGGGTTACATACCATCTCGCCTCCTGGATATCTAATATGTCATAGAGCAATGTCCTGGATGTGGTGCCAGGATACGTTCATGCCCTTGGCGTGGTTCCACACATCCAGGGTGTGACCACATCCTGGGTATTTGTACCTACGATGTACGACGCAAATTTTCCCACCGCAGGGACGCACCCTTGAGGATAGGAATGCCTATATTGACCATGGCATTGATTTGGCATTTTGAAGAATAGCACGCAAAATTTATGGTTCCAAGTATAGCCAGGCCTCCTCCAAGGGATACACACTTGTGGCGGCAAGGGGTAGTTTCTGGATTGTTGAGCAATCGATCAATAATCCACGCCGACCTCCAAGCAGCGCTCAAACGCCTCGAGTCGGGCATTAATTGAGGCAATATGCTCCAAGCAAAATGGCAGTGGGTAAAATTGTAGCGGCCTTACAGATTGCACATTTCTTGCATGTTGGATTTTCTGACTCGTCGCAAATCCGTGCATTGGGATCAAGAAGAGGGTGAATTTCCGACGTTGCCAATGGGTGACGTAGATGACGCATTTGGGCGCTATGCTCTGCCATATACTCCTGCACTTTGCAGCGTGTTGCATGGTTGCATTGTTCCAATGTGATGCATTTTTCCCTTCAGCTGGCCCGCGAAATACTCAGAATACCGGTGGCGGCATACCTTGGATGACCACCCTTTTGGCGACAGCCGCAAGCATCTTTGGAGATAATAAGATCCAGATCGCGAGCTCTTTTGTGGTGGAATGGGGTGTTTTTCTCGAGGCGTCGTAGACAGTACAGTTGCCCTACACGGCTCGAGTGTTCCCGACGCTGGCTGTGTGTGCCACAGTGCCGCGGTCACTGTCATGGACACAGCCGCCGTCACAGGCATTGCCACGGACACGGCGACCGTGGCAGTCATTTTCGCGGTCACCGCAATTGGCACTGGTCGGGAAAAAGGCTGGATGGGGATGGATCGAATAAGCAAACGGCTGTGCAGTGAGTGCCTCTGTGAAAACGTGACTACATTTAGGCATGGCGATTGCCGCAATGTGCGCTGGGAGTGGCGAAGCCAGATCCAGAATGTCATACATAGGAATGGAGGTTTCAGCTTATAACAAACATGATGTTGGGCACATTGGTATTGTCTTCACTGCGGAAACCAGAATTAAGTGTCAAAATTTAAGACCATCCATGTGCGTAAAATTATATCGCTGCTCGCCTTCTAGGTCTTGTTTTCTCATTTTTGTATAATGGCAATCCATGGGACGCAAATTTTATCCACTTCAGCGTGATTATTGCCACCGAAAAGGAGTTGGTTTATGCAGCAGTGTGAAATGTTTGGCCATTGCGACATGGTCGCATTCGCCTGCGATCCTGCCGTCAGCGTCGGGTAGACAGCCTTGTGTTCACTTTTCATATTGCGATGGTCATTTCAACAACAGTATTTAATTGTTTTTTGCAATGTTAGGTTTGGTCTTCATTTTCGCCATGGCGAGCGTTTGTTTTTGTGGGAGTGCTGCTAGCGGTAGCCAGGGTGGGATATTTCTGTGCAATGGCCTTGCCCACCTGGTGGCCTGTGCTCAAATCGCCCATTTGTTTGATGGAGCGCAGACCCGAGTTAGAGTCAGTGGTAAGTACGGACAGGATTTGTTTTGCTTGCATGGAAGATATCATGTTGTGCATTTTGGTGTTGCTGGTGCGCATATAATAATTTTCGCTTTTGAGTGCTGTGCTAGCGCGCTTGATTTCATCTCACGTGGCACAGGTGAACTACATTACTCTAGTCAGGACGACTTGCGCTTCAGAAAATGGCCAATTATAGACTTCTAGATTTTCAGTATCTGCATGGATTTTCCTGCTTACAACACGAAGATATTGACCAGGGTTGGATGAGACTGCATGGAAAGACACTGCAGTTTTACATATTTTAGCTTTTCTTAACTGCTGCTTTGGGAACTTGTTGAAGGGAAGACTTCTTCTGTGATTCTGTAGGCGCTCCCCAAGAAGCTGATGTCCGCTGTGCAGTCAGATGACCTGGATGCAGCTGGAAATTTCTGTGCTTTGTTCAAATTGGATGATTTCAGAGATAAGGCGAGTCCCTTGGGCCGCATTTCATTGCCGGAATGATCTAAATGCGTATTTTCCATCGATATTGCCATCTGCAGTGTGATTGCATCTCACAATGTTCTTCAAAATCCTCCGCGCTTTTGATAGCTGCAGGTATTAGCGCTGTTTATTGCTTTCGGCACACTGCCTTTTCGTACAATCAACAAATGTTTTTCTTCTGTGAATGTGGATGCGATAACTTGCCTCCAGATTCATAACCGGGTGGTCCACTTGAAAGAGGCAATTGGCTTGCAAATCAGCGGCAAGTTTAATGCACAAATTCTGCTTAATTCAATTCACATCTCGCAATTCAATTGCAAAAGGGTGCGCACCTCATGCATGTGTGCCCTGGGAATTTTCACAGCAAGGCGGAACCCCACTTCACTACGCGAGATCAAGGGCAATGGTTGAGAATCTGATACAAGCTGGGACCAATGTGGACGCCGAGGATCAGGTGATCAATGGTGTGAAACCGTTCATTTTGAGTCTTTGTGAGGATAAAAGAACACAGGCATTGCACTTTCAGGGCTATTTCCAGCACAAAAGGGCCCTGCAGGCTGCCCAGTTGGCGATGCTATAAACTCCGAGGTCCGAACTGAATCAAATGGAATTATGGGTCCTGCTGTTCGCGCCATATGTTGTCCTTTAGATTATTCGCTGTTTTCTCTATCTCGGCCATTTTGCATTACATTCTGATTGCTTATGCGTCACTTGCTGCCGCTGCTGAGATGCCGGGGATGGTGGCTTAATTTTGGGTGGTCAGGCATTTACGTTAACGGCGTTCACATTGACCAGTTGGTAGCGAACAACATACCTACAGGGAGTACATGTTCAAGCAGAAAATTTTGCAAATCTCCGCTCGTGAAATAATTTCTGGCACAATGGTCAGTAAAAGTGGTGATAATCGCATGTGATGGTGGCTGCGAAAGTCGCCATTGTGTGTGTCAGTCAGGGATTGAAGCACGAACTCGGGATGATTGCAGTGCTCGCTCGTGGCGCGAATGTGTCCCAGAACATTTGAAATGACCAGCAGTGGTCAATCTGCCGTACAACAATTTAAAAGCTGCACAGAAAAGCTGAAAAAGAGGCCAGACTTTCGAGACACACCTGAAAGTATACAAATATTGTCAATATGGTGAACGCGAATTGCAAGCACGAGTTCATCGTGAAAACAGCGGCTTTCGTCTTCGAATGCACTCCTAACAGTGCAACTGCCGCACTGTGAAGTGTCGCGCTGCATTGCAGCTCTGTTAAAACACTGCAAGGATGAATGTATGTGGGGTTATTTCCTGCAGTGAGGATGCTTGACTTGTGTGCAGAGAAAATGGACACCTCTTCACCATGCGTGCAGCAGAAGTAAAGGGGGCCAGGATGTGGTGGCTGCTCTGCTCAAGGCAGGAGCATCAATTGAAGCTCAAACATTTGTAAGTCGATTGTCGGTTGTGCAACAGTAACCCCTTCTTATCAGCATGATCATCGAGCTTCTCTCACATCAACTTTGTTTCAGTTCTGGTTCGATTGGTGTGTTGCTGGGAGCGTTGCTGAGTGTCTACTCCGCTGTTGGAAACGTTGGGCTGTCATGGAATGCGTTTCAATTGCTTGCGATTTGCAAGGTTTATTCCTGTACATGATTGAGGAAACATCATTGCGCCTTGCATGTTAGCGAAGCAAATAATGTGATATGAGTACACAGGAATTCGAAGTGAATGGATTGGTACACGTGATGGAAGTGGTGAAACACATGGTGGTGTAGGAAATAAACATTCGTGGGAACAAGAGATGCTTTCAGAAGACCATTTGCAAGTGATTCGTGAAGCGTTATAGTAGCACCTTGCGATGTAAGTGGTGCATCAATCCGTGAAGTGGCTTTCACTGGGCATGTCAGTAAACAGCTGTTGGCCATGAAACCAAAAGTGTCCAGGATAAGGTGTCATGGGTGAGAGCGAGAAAGCCCTTGTCAGATATTTTTGCCAAGGTTGCGAGGGCTCACTTCTCAGCCCAGGCTGGTCGTTTTGCGCGCCGTGACCGAGTTTCTCCATACGAAGACAGCGAAGGCGCAATCGTGATGGCTTGTGTGGTATCAGGAGGGGTACACAGCCCTCCACATCGCGGCCTACTATGGCAACGTGGATGTAGCCTGCGAGCTCCTCAACAAGAAGGCCGATGTGAATGCCGTAAACAGGGTAAGTACCATAGCACAAGGGGTCAGAAATTGGCCGACGTCAGGCAAATGGCATCGGAGCGTCGCCGCCTCCGACGCCGCCCTCCTTTTGAGCGTCTGCGTTGAGCTGCCTGGCCGAATTTATAGGCTACTGCATTGCTTTCTTTTCCTTTTCTTTCCCAGTTTCTTCATCAATATCGCGTACGTTATGATGCGTCCTGTAAACTTGCAAGAAGGAAACCCCGTTGGAGCCCATCCTCAAGACCCCTTTGTGAAAATAATGCTTGCACAATGCCCACGCTAGTGCAAATCGCCATTTCTGGGACATGAAAGGACAATAAATCAAGCTTACTGGGACGCCAACGGGACGCTTGATTCGAACCAGCGGCTCCTCCAATGATCGAGAAAGCGTCCCAGTGGCGTCCCAGTAAGCTTGAATTATTGTCATTTGGCGTCCCAGAAATGGCCATTTTCACTAATGGCATATATAAAGGGCGAGGTCCTCAACCATCTGTGTCTTCGCGATGCCACGCAGATTGGGTACACTCCCCTTCACGAAGCGGCACAAGGGGGGCATGCGGCTGTCATTCATTTGCTTCTCATGACAAGAGCAAAGATGATTTTTGCAAAGGTGGGACCAATGTACGGCTGGTCTCTTGTCGAACGTATAATTTTTCTGTGTGGGTTTTCGAGCTGAAAAACAAGTCTCTGATGCACCAATTTTCAATCACCATATTTTCTGAAACATTTCGAAGCCGACTGCTTGGGATCTGTTGAACGGTGCTCAGCATCATCGACAAAATGACAGCATGGTTTTCAGAGTGAACGCAAGTGAAAGCCAAAAATAAGGGCTCAGAAACTGATGATCATGTCATTCCTTTCCCATTGAAACCGGTCAAACACACCAAAGCAACGCCCACGTCACTCTGACTGGTGATCCACTCAACGCTTTTAGTAATTCATCGACCATGCATCCCCCATACAACCTCCTTACCAAAGCATTTAGTGGTTCCACGCCTACCATGGCAGAATTATGGACGTTCCCCACACTCCGGCTTACCAACAATCAGTTTGCAATACACGCTGATTCTTGGCCGCAACGTCCCATCATGAGTGGCGCCCACTATGGCCACACATATCACAAACTGACCCGCGAGGCCGACCCATGATGCGACACCATGGAGCCCTTGATAGTTGCCTGGATTGCCATCTCCGATGCCCATCACCAGTGCACACTGACCCACGGGCAAATCGCAAGTTCTTACAAATCCCCAGGACTTGCTATCCTCGGCCTCTGCCCATCTGGGGTGGGCAGATCCATATTCGCAACTCTACCAGCACGCAACACGCAGTGGCCATACCCAAGGAACTTCGATGTGTGCTTCTCTCACATGTCACTGGAGTCACCTCACATGTCTCGCTATCACTCCATCACACCAATATCACGCCACACCATTTTATCGTCCACCCGCACCCCATCACCATGCGATCCACGCTCAGACGCGTCCTCTGCACTGCCGGCCCATCAAACTGGCGCCCAGCGCTCTCTTGGCATTACATAACCCCATCCACTCTCACTCGCCGGCTCTGCCATCATAATGGCGCGGCACCGTGGCGCATCACCCCGCACTTCACACTTTATCACACTGCACCCCGCAGCTCGCCCCCACGACTCGATGCTACTGGCCCACCAAACAGCCGCCAAAAGACCAGCCTAACGTAAGACTCAAACGAGTGCCCTGCTATCACCTCAGGGCGCTGGCAATGGTCGTGATGGTCCTGGGAGCCGTCCTTAGTAATGCACCAGAAAGTGATGCAATCATAAGCCCATCTCGTGCCGCCTAGTGGCAAACGGTCAGCGCCCTCATTTGGTGGCCAGAACACAAAACTGGCCAGCGAATGTTGGTCATATCGTGGGAACTCGAACAGATCCCGGTAATTTGTCAGGTTGCATCACAATGTGACATGCTGCATATGCAGTTTCCTATGTGCTGTTATACACTTGTTTACTGGACGCTCACAGGGTCGGAGAAACTAGCATGGTTTATGGCATTTCTTAAGACTCATTAGTGACGTGGGCATTCTGAGAATCACCGGGATATTTGAAGGGGTTTACCTAAAGTTTGTTCAAGTGTCACACAGGAAACGATATCATATGAAAGTTACAACACAATTATCATAGTTGGCGTCAAGATTGCAAAATTTTTTATAATATTATATATATATATATATATATATATATTTTTTATATTATTTTTATTTTTATGTTTTGGCACTCTGTTGCTTACATAAATTGTTCCATTCTGGCTGGTTGTGAGCGCATGGTGGGAAAACATTACCATCCGTGAAGAAGTGGAAATACTTGTTCAGTGACCAGCGACAAGAGGGTTTCTTCCTGCAGAGAATCCCTGCCTAGGAAACAAAAGTGCATGTTGCAGCGTACTAGAATTGGGCGACATCCGTTGACTTCGAGGAAATTAGTACTTGTCATGAATTCCAGTGTTCTTTCTGTCTTGCGAGTAGGTTATGTGTCTCAAGACGCTCTTGTGATCTGGTGGTTGTTGTTAGGGGGGTTTGCACCATACAGGGGGCAAGCCCATTGATGTGGCAATGGAGTTCAATCACCACGAGGTGGTCAAGATATTGTGAGTGAAGCTTAAGGAACTCTCGATGGCACGGATGTTGACTTCAATCGCTAACGTGCTGGCATGGAGCGGAAGCATCTAACGCCATTCGTTCTGCTGTCTGTTGTTCTCTTCAACATGTTTATCTGGTAGTTGGGACTGGCTTATAATTTTAGGTATACTAAAAGTATTATTAGCCATCACCTACGTAGGTAACATACAAGTACATTAGCATGCCAACCCTCCACCTCTGCGTCAAAATTGCGTTAATGTACGTGGCATCGGTCTTGTTACCCACCTTAAATACAGGTCAGTGCGTTAAGGGTTGCGGCAAGAACAATGGCCACATAATGCCATGCGATGGAGCCTGATGGCTGGCTAGATGGCTGGGTGGGTATGTTTCATGTCTAGCCTGCGCTTGATGGGACGCCTCAAGCTTGCCATCTCCTTAGTTCGACGGATAAGGAGAACGCTTAGCTTTACAGAAGTCCTAGGCCTGCTGAAGGTGCTTGAGAGGCAGGCCAGAGCGCAAATGACGTGCGGAATTGGGCATGTCTAAAACAGAGGGTTGGAATGTGGCCGTGGCAAGTAGCCATACCGTCTAATTTACTTTGGCGAACAGGAAATGGTGTTGGGGAGGCCAGGAACGACAGTCGCATTTTGGAAAACTGATTTGTACTCGGCATTGCTTTTTCGCCTGCCACGGTTGAGAAGGGTGGAAATAGCGGCGCATGCAATGCATTTTGGCTATGTATAAACCTTTTTTGCCATTTTAAGTCTTACACGTCAAGTTCTCTCTGAAAATTTCTTGGATCAAGGGTTACCGCCATGTTGGCATCGGTGACCTTTTGGGAGTCGCTGTCGACGGACACACACATCGGATGATCATTATGCTAATGGTATTTGTATTTGATATTGGCTTGTCAGTCAAGGTACACCATTTTGTTTTACAACTGCAACCGTCATGTTACGCAGCTATTTGCTCAGTGCAGGCGCATTGTTGTGCATTTTGAGACCAGAAGAATCAGGTCTCGTTCCTAAGCAAAATTCATGCATCACTGTAGTGTCGCGCGTGCAGTCGCTATCTACTGGCACCTGTGCGTAGACGCCATGATGTGCAATGAACATTGATACGAATTGTACGATTCTATGATTCACGGCTTTTGCAAGCCTAAGCTTAGTGTGTGCCCATGTCCTAGGGACGCCACGGAAACGTTGTTTGCGCATCAGAATTGATACAAGTAATCTACTGACGTCCAACCAATCATCGCATTCTCCTCCACGGATTGCACACTTGGATAGGAGGATACCAGTCGAGGAGCAGTAGTCCAAGATGCTCTTGTTTTGCAGCGGATTGTCTACAGATGATGTAGCACTGGAGTTTGAGGATTGTCGCAATGATGTGTTGCATTGAACGATAGAATCTAGAATGGAATATGGCTAGACACAGAGAGGGAGTAGAAGAAAGACACTACCGCGGTCGCCATGCTCAGCACATCCACACATTGGTGTGGCCTTCTCTGGATTGACATTGCCAGTCAGCTCGCGTATGAGGCGTGAACGTTCATTTGCAACGACTGTTGTGCATTGATACAAGCCGTAATCTTGCACCTTCACTCATCGAATTTCCTTGCAAATGCCTGCGTTTTCACGCCTTCTTGTCATTGCATGCGGATCTAAATGTCGAAGTGTTTGTGAGTACACTGTAGTGAGTGTTCTCGTTTCGTTTCGACAGCTGGCACAGAAACTCTCACGAGGCTGAAAGCTTCCTTCTTGACGCAAAAATTTTGGAGGGAAAATTGTGCATTTTTTTAGCATTGTAAAGTAATTTGTTGTGCCACTTTGCCTGAAAGAGTGTTGAGTCGCGATTGCACATGTTGAAGGTTGTCCTTGAGAGTGTGGACAACTTCGTAAGTCGTTCCAGCATTACTCTTTGGCATTGTCAATCTAAGACGGCGACCTGCAAGAGCAAAGCTGAGCGAAGGGTCATTTAACTCACAATGAAACACGTTGGTCCAATGCGCACGCTTTACCCCACAACATCAGTCAGGGCTACACTATGGCCATTCGATACGCTTGATGATTAATGTAGTTGAGGAAGATGCCATGTCGAATTGGTGCAATTAGCATCACTTTGACGCTCAGTGGGAAGGGATCCGCACCTGTGACGTCAACAGACAAATGCCATGCTTGGATTTTACGTTGACGTTCATGTTTTTACGTTTAGGTTTTCGTGCACAAAAAAGTAGATCTAATTAGCTAAAGGGGCCATTTTTACGGCTATTTGTACGTTTTTATGGCTCGTTGGGACAGCCAGGTTATACGATGAAAGTTGCATACAATGATCAATCCTCTGCCATCTCCAGCACTTGCAACGCGGTGCCCACTTCGCCCTCGGCAAGGGCAACGACGCCATGGAATAAAAATTCGTTTTCTACACATTCCAGCGTGTGTGGCTGCCACTCCCCGGACTCCCCAAGTCCGCATGTACTGCCCTTATGTACACGGGCCAGTATTTACCTCGTCTTTACGTATTTTTATGCGCTTTTATGTGTAAAAGAATAAAAATTACTTTATGCATAAAAAGGTAAAATAATTTTGCCCATAAAAACGTGAATGTGTTCAGTTTTTGCTACCTAAATACCAAGCCTTGTAAATGCGTTGCCCAAAGAATGATCGCAAGAAGATGTCCTGACCGACCTTGATCGGCACAAGCGAGCGATTATGATGCCGGTGGCACCCTTTACATTGGCCGGTAGTACATTAAAATAGCTGTAAATTAATATATGTACATTGTACAAGCTCGGTCCACCGCAAGCGCTGCGCACGCGGTGTCCTCTGATTAACCCGGCGTCGCGGCTTCGGGTGGTCGTATGGACTATCGAGATGGTTCTGTCAAGGGCTTAAGAAGCAGTTGAATACAAACGAGTTTGAAAATGAGTTGAAAAAGTGCAAAAGCAATAAAATCGAATCACGTGGACTTGATTTTTAATAACAAGTTAACTACAGTAGTCAGTGTGTGGAATAGCTTACCAATGGGTGCACAAACTCGTGCACCATTTAGTCGCTTATTCGATGCACTGATTGTTCCACATGCAGTTTGTGCATGAATCGGTGCAGCAAATGGTGCTCCAATTGGTGTAGCGTGGCAATGAAACGCTGTTTTTTTTCCTGTTGTCGTTTTTTCATCAGCACCGGTCTGTCAATGAGCGACCACGATAGCGTGGGCAAGGTGTTGGCGCTGGGAGGGCTGCAAGCGAAGCCCAAGGCGGGGCAGCCCAGGCGCTGGATGCTAGCGCCTTGGCTGCCTTGCGATAGACCGGAGGTTCAACCCCGCTTGATCGGCGCCATGGCAGGCGATCGCCGCTGCCAAGCGATCCCAAAAGGCAGGCGATCCTAAGTGCCGACCATCGCCGGCGCTTGGAGCGTTCGCTTGCCCAAAACGGACGCCAAAGGGTGCCAAAATGGCCAGCCTTGGCTGGGCATTTGGTGCGTCTTTGTCGTTGGCTGGTGCGACCAGAATTGGCGAATTGAGGCACAAACTGCAAAGAGGGAGTGGGGGGCGGCGATTGAGGCCCCACTACCGACGCTTTGCGGTAACACGTTTGGGATTTGCGCCGGGGCGCTGCGTGTTGCACGCTTCCTTTTTGCTTGGCGGAATCGCTGCTCGTGGCCAGCGATTGTGGCCAGGCGCGAGTGCCAAATTTGGTCAACTTTAAAGTTGGCGCCCGTGGATGGCCGCAATCGGTGGCCGCGAGGGGCAAAAGTGGCGATTGTTGGAGGCCACAATCGGCCTCCCACTCCCGTCGCTTTGTGGCCACGCGGTTGGCACTTTCCCCTGTGCCCTGGGCGCCGCGCGATCTCCAGCTGACCGCTGGAACCTGGCCTTCGTGAGCACCGATTGTTGCGTTCTGCTGGCGCCAATCTAGGCGTTCGCGGGTTGCCATAATAGGTGCCAGCGAGGGCCGAAAGCGGGGGGAGTGGGAGGCGGTGATTGGCCTCCCACTCCCGTCGCTTTGCAACGACGCGTTTGCCATTGTCGCCCGCACTTTGGGCGCCGGGCGTTGTCCAAGTGAGCCAAGGTGTCTGCCCCTCGTGCCTCCGATTGTTGCCACCCGCGTATGCTGATCTGGGCATCTGCGAGTGACCAAGATCGGTGGCCACGAGGGGCAGACGTGGTGGGATCTTGGGGGCCGATCGGTCTCCCACTTGCGCAACTTGTGAACTTACTCTTGTGGTGTTTGTGGAGCTGGTGCTCGCGGCGCTCGCAGCCCAGCACCAGCCACAACCCGGCACTCTTGAAATGGCTGGCCAAGGCAGTTCAGCACATGGCGTTGCTCCCGCCGCGGACCAGCTCGCCGCCGTGCTGCAGCCTCTAGTGAGCGTTCTTCTAGTGACCTGCGAACCCAGCGACCTTGCGCCATGTTGCAGCGTCTTGTTCACGGTCTTTGAGTGTTCTGCATAGCAGTCATGGCGCCCACGTCGCTTTTGCTTTGTCCTTTTTCATGCACAGCCGCAAGTGTTCGCCTGCCATTGTGGGCCATCGGCACCCGCGCTTATTGCAGCTGTGCACCTCGCATCGGCGATGCGCGTCCCCACCCGTTAAGCCCCTCGGGTGGCTTGAGGGCCAGATGCAAATGGCGGGAATGGTTAGACTTGGGGCGAGGATGGTGGCACCTACCGTCACTGAGGCAGCAGACCCACACGCCGCACCGCGCCGCGTTGCCGTCTGCTGTTTCGTTGTGTCTCGCCGCGCCGCTCTGCCTGGTGGTTGCGGGAGCCACGTTGTTCCTTGAGTTGCAACCCGCACGGGAGAAGCTTTCAGCACGCTCAAGCGCGGTTTGTCATTGGTCGGGGCTTTCACCTTTTGACCAGGCCGCGTTCGCGATCTCAGGTCGCCTGGCTCCTGTCCCAACGCCCGCTTTGCTGTGCTTGCCAGCAAACCTCGCGGGGCACCAAGAGCAGGACACGCCAATCGCTCGCGTCGAAATTTTACCCTTGGTCGGAGGGGCGCGCAGCCGGCGCGGCGAGGCTTGCCGCTGCGCGAGAAGGGCGTGTTTGAACGCCAGCGTGGCAGTGGCCCTGTCGATGCGTTGCGGGCTGCCGCCGTGCTTTGGGCTGTACTGTGAGCAGGCCTGGCTTGATTGACGGCCGAGTATTTTAAATACCGCTGGGTTAACATTTCATTATACGTGATTGTACGTTGATTTACATGCTAAGTGTGCGCGGAGCACACTCTGTAACATCTCTCTCGTAGGGTTTAGTCTGACCTTAGTGTCAAATTGATGCTAAACGTAACATATAGTCGTCATGTCGTCCCTAACATGGAATAGCTGGCGCCAAGTCGAGTTCCCCCCCCCTCTTTTTCCCTGCACCGCAAGAACCGCCTTCTCACGACTCATCTCGTTTCTCACACGCAGCGATGCTTTGTAATTTATGTTCGATGGCCACCATCGTGGCCAGCAACAACTACAAAGTTATAGGTGTAGGAGGGCATATTACGCCCTCCTGCACCCATGGCCTTTGGTATGTTTCTTAAGCCCCATTGGCTTGGTCGCCGCTCTTGCATTTTCCGGCCAGTAAGCTCAGCTTAGCTTTTGAAAATGGCACGCTCCGGGAGGCAAACACGGACTGACCCAACCAACAACAAAATCTCGCCCCAATGATAGACAAAAAACATTCCGTAAAAAGATAGACGTTGGTGAAACCCGTTTCTCCTATGAGCTGCCTTGGGCCTGTCCTACCCTCCTACCCACTCTCAACAGACTACGCTGGATTGTCTCAAAAACACGAGCATCCGCAGGACAGAAAAGGCAACCCAAACGCCGAAAAAGAGCAAAAAAATTAAAAATGCAAAAAAAGCAAAAAAAATGCAAAAAAAGCCGGAAACCCGTCCTTGCTTTGAACCGCCAGCGGTCACTCCCACCACCCTTCCCACCCATGGCCCTCCCCGCCTGGCTCCCCCACCTCGTCGCCGCGGCCACCCTCGCCCTCTTGCCCCCCTTCGCCGCCGCCGATGCCGTCCCGTCCCCCCCCTCCCCCGACATCTCGCTCCGCCTGGCCGCCCTGGGCGAATGGCTGTGGGAGCTGTGGGAGTTGATCGCGCCCGGCGGCAAGCTGCACCCGGCGGGCTTCCTGGAGCACAAGGGCCACCTGGTGGTGGAGGCGCTGCTGGTGCTGCTGATCGCGTACCTGGTGTGGCAGCCGAGGTCCAGCCCGTCCAAAAAAGCGGACGAGCGGCTGACCGAGAAGGTGGGGAGGGGTGGAAAGCCGCGTGTTGAAAACTAAAGGCCCCGGAGAAAGGCGCGCACAGTGGAGCATCCCCTCCTGAGCAAGCGTGCAGCGGTCCCTGCTCTGCTTGTTCAGCGCTGGAGATTGGGCCGTGAGATAAGTTGTGTATTGGAAAACCCGGAACACGGGTCGTTCAATAGGGCACCCACCCCCGAGCGAGCGTACAGTGGGCCTGTTCTGCTTTCCAGCGCTGTGGTTGGGGGCGCGTGTCAGCGAGGGGCTCTCTCTCCTTTTCTGAGAGGGTGATGAGACGCGTGGATCGAAGCATGTGCAGTCGAGACAAAAGATGAGTGCCTGCTCGAGGTGGCGGGGCGAAGGCGTGGAATTTTGTCAGTTTGTTTATTTTCTTGATGTTGATCCTGAAGTTTGCAACATGGGTGTCTGGGCGGCTGGATGTTGGTAGGAGATGTGCGTCAGGTTTTCAGTTCCACAAATTTAGGAGAACTGGGAGGCTTAGTGGCCACAAATTTCGACACACACACCCTGTGCGCCAGAAAATGACAGGCTCTTCCGACTGTACCTACACTATTGGGGAATCTGTCACTGTGTTCCGTTCACTGTGTCAGTCTCAGCGATGCAGATGGAGTACTGCTCTGGCATGGACCAAAGTTCTTCAAGATCTCGCAGAGATCGATTAGAGGATACTACCTCAATATGCATTATTCCTTTTGCATGATACGGTTTTAGATGTTACAACTACGCACATGCTCATGAGTTTAGAGGAGCGCAGCAAATGGCTCGATTTAAGGCACCTCGGTTAAGGCAAAATGGTGAAGACCTATCAAAGTCGGTCTTGTGGGATGGCGCAACCAATGTACTAGCGATGTATGGCCACACTGAGTTCGGTGCTCAGTTACAACCACCATGGCTTGCCACAAAGGCACCTTGGTCACAGTGCTCTGCAACACACCCCAATCAAACGTTAGTCTTGCCAGCATGGGTTCATGCAGAGCTGCACTGATGAGAAAATGGCGACCCTCCGCAAGGCAATTAGCCGAAGCATATGCCACTGGCACAGTGCCACAATCGTGCTTGCAGTGGCTGAGTATGGCGCAGTTCACAGTGCCTGCAGCTTCCACCTGTCATTAGTGTTCAAAGTTGTATCCTTCCTTGCAGGTTACCAGTCCTTGTCCTGAATAATTCCACCACTGCCATCCTCTCTTCCTGGTCAATCTGTGTACTTATTCTTCACATGTTTGGATTGCTTTGGCCTTCAGGAAATCGACCAGCTTTGTGAGGAGTGGCAGCCTGAGCCTCTATGTCCAGAAATTGAGTCATTTCCAGAGGTCGAAAAGCCACTGTTGGCCACAAGGTGGGCATATTTCGTTTCCTGCAAAGTGCGCTCAGAGAGCAGGTGTTCCATGTTCCATTATATTTAGCAGATGTTGTTGTGATGGTACACTAGTGCCTTCCTGTTCTGTTGGTGCAAATTATTCAACAGGCACAGGGAACAGGCAGCAAGGGGTATTGCTGCAGAAGGATTCGTAGAATGTACGCAGCATAGTTTGTGCCAGACCCTGCTAATTCCCTTTTGTCACTGTACCCTTTGCACAAAAAGCTGTTCACCCCTGTGTGTACTCTTCCCTACCATTCTCCAACGAAAGCAAGGCGCTACTTTTTCTGTCATCACAGTATTCAGAGCAGATTTTAGTAGGCTTGCTGAACTTGCTGTTGTGCATTCAACCCATGTTCCATGAGTTTGTTGGTGCTGGGATTGCATTGGTTGAGGTGGTGTCCAGGCCCGGTGCAAGCAAGGAATGCTGCATGTGACAGTTGTATTGTTGTCCTGGATTGTGACTCGCTGCATACAGGCTTTTTGGTTACATTTATAGCTCCATTTTACCGTGTGCATATTTACACGGAAAAACGAACAAATAGATAAACGACAATATTTGCGCATACCTATGGCTCACCGACACACCCGATTACAAGCTGATGTCCCAATCAACGATCAACCCTCCATTCTCTCCAGCATCGGCAACACAACGCGCACCTTGCCCTCAGCAGGGTCAACAACATTGCTGAGCAGAAGATCGTTTTATGCACACTTCAGCTCGTCTAGCTGCCACTCGACGGACTCCCTAAGTTTGTACGTACTGTTCTTCGGTACATATGGCCTATTTTACACATTTTGTGGGCCATTCACGCATACAAACGTAGAAACGATTTTATGTTTAAATAGCCATAAGTAGAAAATATTTATGCTATAAATACCAATACTAGCTGCATATTCATGGATATCATGCATGGGTTTGTTCTACTGTGGATCAGTCTGCAATTGCCTCAACACTGTGGCTTCTTCGCTAACTCAGCTGAACCCAGAGTGGTCCAAAGTCAAGGATCCTGATTTCAGCTATTTGCCTTCCTTCCTCCAAAACCAAATCTCATGTACTGCTGCAGGCGATTTCGTGGTCGTTATCTTGATATGGATTGCACCATTTTAAAACCAGTTGTCTGCCCTGTCTTCTTGTTGAGCCGGACTGTGCTGTGGCATGCAGTGTGTTAGGACATCACATCGAGGTCGATGGGGAGAAGCTGCTCAACATGGTGTCCACTGACTTTCTTGGCCTCTCCACCAGTGAGCACATAAAGGTCAGTGCCAGAGCACCCCGCCAGGTGGCTGCATTGCCTCTGTTCAACGATGGCCAATGTGGTCTCTACCCCTCTGTCTGTCAGTACTGTGAAGGCTGCATGGCATCGCCGGTCCGATTCGATGGTTTTGGATGCACTCTTGCAGGTGACAGTGTTGGCAGGTAATTGTCAAGGCTGTTGTCTCACTCCCATCCAGCACATTTACAGAATTTGTTCCATGCGTATCATGTGAAGATGCAGGCAGGGCATCCGATGCAGCAATCGGATCCGAATGTTATGCTCAGCACTTTTGTGTGTGGTTGCTGTTCGCTGGATTGCCTGGACTTGCGAACATTAGACAGCGCTATCTCTTAAATTGGAGGCTGTGCACGTGCTTTGAATGCTTAGAGTTACTAACTTAGATACGCATGCTGTTCAGATGTGTTGTGAGTTCTTACAGAGTTTGGCTGTCCAAATACTCTGCCCCTGAATGGGCATCGCTTCCTGTGCGATTTGTTGATCCAATTCTTCTGTGTTGCACCAGGATGTCTGCAGGGCAACGATCAACAAGTATGGGGTGGGATCATGTGGCCCGCGAGGGTTCTATGGAACTGTTGATGTTCATCTGCAGCTGGAGGTACAAGTTTGCAGATTGCATGCACATTGTGTGCACAGTGTTACCTTGCTGCTGTTGTTGAATGGTGGTTGAATGATTCAGAGCGAGGTAGTTCAAGATGTACACTTTGCTGCTCATCTGAAAAATGAGAAGACTGTTAATGTGTCCTAAATAGGCAGTGTGATGGACTTCTTGGCTTTCCTAATGTGTTTGTCCATAAGCCACTGGGCTAAGTCCTCAGAAGCACTCACTGACAATTCCTTCGTGAAGCTAGAAGAAACAATAGTTCAATGAACCTGCAGTGATGTCCACAAAATATCAAAAGTGCCAAATCCAGGGCACTGTGGATGCCCACACGACTTGTTCAGTAGCAGTCGATTATGAGAATCTGGATTGTGTTGACAGGAGAGCATCAGCGAGTTCATGGGCACACAGGAGACGATCATTTACTCGTATGACATGGCAACAGCAGCCAGCGTGTTGCCTGCATTTGCCAACGCAAAGGATGTCATCGTGTGCGATGAGGTGGGGGCCCGGGATTCAGGAACAGTGGTGTCTTGCGCAATTTTCGCATCGCCACAAGCTGGAGTGGAGATCCCCAGCTGATGGCTACAATCCTCAACTTGTCATCTCCAGCTGTATTTTCAGGAAATAGGAAAGGGTATGGACTAGATGTGTTGCTGCTGTTCATAAGGAAGCTCAAGTGGTTTCAGAGCTTGGCGCATAACCTGCAACAATGCAGGTTGCATGCAGGCTGTAGATAGTTGTGGTTGCTGCTCACAAAATCCTGAACCTAAAAGGAACCTAAAGGAAGCAGGCTCAGGATTAGGAGTGCCTGCTCTCCACAGCTTATTATGCGCATTGTTCCCACATGTCTCTGAGCATGATCCGATGTCTTTGCTTTGGAGGTGCCTGGATCATCTTGAGCATCCATACTCCAAATGCAAAATTGTTTGCTTTAGTTTCCATGGTCTGTGGTTGGCGGACGGGATTGAACCTATACTTTGTGTTTTGCATCAGTTTCCGGCAAACACCAAGTGTTCAGCACAAGTTTCGGTCGACACTGCTGTGGCAACAACATAAGAGCGCCCAATTGTGGCCTGGATTTCATACAGTCTTCACCCCTGAAAATTGACCATTCGCTTGTCCACATGTTCCGCCGGCAGGCAGTGCACTACCCCATCCAGAATGGGTGCACCCTCTCACGCGCCAAAGTCCTGAAGTTCAAGCACAACGACATGGGAGACCTTGAGCGCTTGCTGGTGAAGGTGGCTGCTGAGGACAAAAAATTGAGGTGGGTGTTTTGCGCATCCAAAATAGCCAGGGTTGTGTGGCATATGTGCTGCCCACCTCCAGCCCAGCTGAGAGTTGGCAGGCACACATATCATCCACAATTGCCATCCTCCTGGGTTGTTTTTTGTCGAGTGGTTGGCTAGGAGTGAGCACCATTTTGTCTAACTTGGATGGATGAAATTCGCAGCATGGGGTCCCCATCAACTGGTGTCAAGGACAAGCGAGCAGTGCAGCAGGAAGGAAACACCTGTAAAGGATGCCTGCATCGCCTTCTGGGGGTACAGGCACCATCTTATCCAGTTTCACGAATCGGTGAAGGCATTTCTCCTTACGTTCAGCTGCAACTGACACAGTTTCAGTAAAAGCTGGTACAACCAAGTACTGCAGGAAGTACTGAGCCTTGTGGCACATATTCCCAAAAGAGGGTTACTTCAGGTGCAGCGAACATGGTTGCAGAGCAAAGCGGAGCCTGCACAGTCACTGCCTCTCGCTTTGGGCACATGTTCGTGCCATTTTGCCCATGTCGTTTTGCTGCACCCCAAAAATGCACATGCCCCCCCTCCCACCTCCTGTCGCCGTCCCCTCTCTCCTCTCTTTGTGCCTGTGTTGCTCGCTTCTCGTCTTGCACAGGAAACACTAAGTCACCCTTCTGCAGTATTGCACAGAGTCTCTCACACATTTGCTCAGGAGGGTGTGCCCTTAGTGTGACCTGTTCCTCGTCCTCTTTTTGACAAATCTTAAACCTTGCTACTCCCGGGAACCCCTTTTGCAAACTTTCTCGCTCGGGTCTCCTCGAGTGCACGTTTTCTTGCTCTTTGTGATGCCTATGGTGCCCGCTCCTCTTATTGCACTGAACGCTCCACATCAAGTTTCTACAGCATGCAACAGAGCCTCACACACACTGGGAGGAAGGGTTGCCCCGTTTACGAGCTGTCTCAATAGCCTTCAGGAAGAGTTAAGTTCAAGTAATACGAAGTACTGAGCCTTATGCCAACCAGTCCTTCCCAAAAAGAAAGTTTCTCGCTTTGAAGCGTGACACATTGTAACACTATTGCTGGAAAGTACAGCACAAGGCTCAGTACTTTATGATACTTAGCTGACTGTTTCTTCCCTGAAACGGTGTGTTGTGCTCAGGAAGCCCCTCAACCGCCGCTTCATCGTTGTGGAGGCCATCTACCACAACACTGGCGAGCTGGCCCCCTTGGACGCCATCCACGCCCTCGCCGCCAAGCACAAGTACCGCCTGGCCGTGGACGAGTCCCTGGCGATCGGCGTGCTGGGCCCCAAGGGCCGGGGCGCCTGCGAGCACTTCGGCCTGCCCCCGGGCGGTGCGGAGATCGTCTTTGCGAGCATGGGCAACGCGCTGGCATCTGCTGGAGGCTTCTGCACAGGTATTGTATTGTGTTCCAATGTACTACTTGTACTACATTGTACTACTTGTTTTACATTGTGCTACCTGTACTACATTGCACTACCTGTATTACATTGTACCACTTGTAGTATGGTAATTCCAATTTGACCATTGCACGTGTTGTGTATATCCACCAACTGAGCGCTGATGTCCCGCCCAGACCTGCACGCCAACGTCGACCCTCACCAACTTTGTGCTCCTTTCTGTCCAAATTGTCTATGTATTTTATATACTATACACTGTGTACTACTTATTATCAAATATTTGCTATTGTTAGTTGCAGTTTTGCTATCTCATCACCCTTGTGCACAGGTGCCAGGGAGGTTGCGGATCACCAGAGGCTTGCGGGGCAGGGGTACTGTTTCTCGGCCAGCCAGCCACCATACCTGGCGACGTCGGCGCGGGCGGCGCTGGAGGCCGTGGCAGGGGATGGGGAGGGCAGGCGGCAGGTGGCGAAGGGCGCGGCGCAGCTGAGGCGGGAGCTGGGGAGGGTCGCGGGTGGGTTGAGGGTGCGCTCGTTGGTGGATGTGTTGCTTGCTTGGCCTGTTTCTATACATATATGCATGAACTGAAGATCCTTGCAGACAACGTGAAATTCGATGCAGTGGTCATGTCACGTGTTTCTGCTGAACTCAGATCGTCAAAACGGTGTCCTTACTCATATGAGATATTCCTTTGACCCAAAGACAATACGTAGGTGGGTGCAGTTGTTGACCACGTAATCTGGCGCCACCAACACTCTCTTGGGAAAGGTTGTGCAAGTCTCAGCACTTCACAGTATTTAATTGTGCTGCTGAGCACCACTGCCAAGTACGCCAGCTCACCAGACAGTTTGATGCAACTTGTTTGCATCTTTGAGCTGATATTGCAAGGCTTGATCTGCAAACAGTTGCAAGACTATTCCAAGCAGGACTGAGAATTCAGAAAGGCTGTATCAGTAAGTTCTGGTCCTGTGCATGGACCGCAGGCCTGGAGGTGGTCGGCAGCCACGAGCGGGACCTCCTGTCTCCCGTGGTGTTCCTGCGGCTGAAAGATGCACCAGAATCTTCTGTCGAGGCCCGGCGCCGCCTGAGTGAGCTGGCGGACTGGGTGCGGCGCAGGCAGCGTGTGCTCATCACGATCCCGATCTCCTCGCCGATCGAGTGGCGCGACTGGGGCCCGGCGATCCGGATCGTGGTCACGGCGCGGCATGGAGAGGGCGAGCTGCGGGGGCTGGCGAAGGGGCTGGAGGAGGGCCTCAAGGAACTGTCAAAAAAGTGGTGAGGACGTTCCGTTTACAAAGAGGGCCTCAAGGAACTGTCGAAGAAATGGCGGCAACATTCCCTGGTTTGGAGGGAGGACTCAAAGAGCTTTCGGAGTGGCCGCGAGTGCATGCTGCTTGGAAGTTCAGACTCGATTGCACGTCCCAGGAGCCCGCCGGATTTCGTCATTGGCTCCACTTCTCAACAGCTCATCCATGTTCTGTGCCAGAACCTCCCCAGAACAGTGCAGTCAGGTTTCAGTCAAGAGCCCAGGAAAGTTTTGAACTTCCCCCTTGAAACCTGTCAGGCGCAGAGCTGTCAGACAAACCGGTGGTGGCAGTTTCTATGCAATGCCACACGCGGGGGGAGGCAGGCAATGTGGATGGGCGATGCGAAGTGCCGGCGCTGGAGATTGGGTCCTTCAGCTCAGTTTTTTTTTTGTATCTTATTTGCTGATCGTCCCCATTGGGGCGAGCGGATGTCCACCGATGTTTCAATTAATGTCCCACCTGGACCCACGCATCTGGTGCTGTCGATGATCGACCAATGTTCGCCTTTCTCCTATCCCTATGTGTTTTGCTCAGATTGAGAAGAAACTTCTTGAACACGACTTGGTGAGTGGCGCTGTGCGAGTTCCCCCTCTTGTGTGGAATCGCCGCCTGTTTTCGTCCGCTGCATGTCCTGGCGCCCGGCTGTCGGCTCTCTCATCTTCTGTGATCAAAACTGACACTAAAATCACAAATCGATTTGCACAAGCCTTGCATCGGCGCTTTCAGCATTGCGAATACATTGGCAGCTAAGCAGGCTGCATGAAGTTGAATTGTCGTTGCCCCCGCGATGAACAGCAACGAGTGATGGAACTACTCTCATGGAAGCACTGTTGTATCACCTACATGGAATAGGACGCAGGAAGTAGTTTCAATCATGATTTTGGAAACGCAAATCGCGCCTTCGAGCCATTGGCTCCAGAAAGACGACAGGGTCTGTCTTCTCCGTGGCGCCATGGAGGAAAGCATCAACAGTTCGCTTAGTTGTTCGTACTCAGCGCTCAGCACTAGTGCTTGGGACCATACACTGTTTTAAATACTGTGTGACACAGTATTTCAGCCCTCTACGCGCTTTTGCAGGAAAGGTGCAAACTGGAAAGGAGCTTGCGGCTCATGGCGGACTGCCCCTGGCCCACTTCCAAATGACACCACAATGAATTATGCGTCACAGTAACGCCCACGAAAAAGTGCCACGCAACGCATTCGCTTCCCCACCCGGCATGAAAGAGCCCTATGAGAAAAACGCCGAGATTGGTCCCATCCCGGTCTCGCAGGCACCGCCTTGCTGCGTGTCAGCTTCGACAGGCCTTCCTACCCCCTTCGGTCCAGCTGCCCCATCGATCAACCGGGCAACGACCAATCAAAATGATCAATAAAATGGATGGACCGAACGCGAATTCGCTGGCAAATAAATCCATGACCGTTCTGCTCGCCCCATGCACCAATCCCGCGGCCCGGCTGCTCATTCGGCCTGCTGGCGGCTAATCCGCAACAAAAGGTCAGAAACCCTAAACTAAACTGCCGCACTGCACAGCAGCAACCTATTAGGACACCAACACGGTACTCATACATTTGCCCTCTTCGAGGGTCTTCAGCCAGGCGCACGCCCAGCTTCGCTATATTCCCCTGGGCCCCCTGGCCCACAATTTCCTCTGGCCCTACAAACGGCATTTTCGACATTTTCAACCTTTTCGATGGCTTTTTTGGCCACTTCTTCACCTCCCCAAGCGCAGCTCGCAGCGCCCAGCAGAGCTATCCCATTCCAAGAAGTTCACAAGGCGCATGCGCACCCTTTTCATACGATTCCTTCTACGCCGATAAATCCGGCTCCATACGCCGCCACTACCCAAACATCGTACCAACACGTCGTACCGATACACTGAAAATCCTGCAAAGGCAGCCTGACCACGCCCTGTGCCGGTTCGCGTTTGTTTTCCGCAATGACCATCAACCGCAATAGCACCACGGCCGGCCCGCTGTCGACGCCACCGGGAGACAAACTGAGCAGATTCGAAATCTCCACCCCACAGCCTCAGACGGGCATCAAACCGAAACCTGGCCGCACACGCTGTCACAGCCACACGCAGCTCAATGCGCATAGCCTGATCTTATCCGGTTCGATCCGATGTCCAGCCAGAATTGCACCGCCCTGCGGCCCGGCCATCGCCTGCGAGGTGGGAGGGCCACGCAGGTTTGTCTTTCGACGGCAAATCTGAAAAGGGTAGTGGAAAAATGGCCCAAAAGAAACCTAAAAAAAGGAAACTAACCAGAAAAAAAAGGAAAAGAAAAGAAACTAGCCCCCCTCCGCCAAGGCGTCGCCCGAGGCCACCCCGTCGTCCTCTGCCTCGGCATCTCCCTTTGCCGTTGCTGCCGCCGCCTCAGAGAACGGCCTCATCCTCATGAAGTCGATCCTGCGCACCCATCAACTCCGTGATTCAGTCACTGAGATTCTGTCCTGATTCAAACATGATTCTGTCGTGATTCTTCCTGATTCTGTCGTGATTCGTCGACGATGTGGTCATGATTCATCCACGTTTCATCCATGCAATCCACTCCATGGACAGAAAGCTGCAAAAGGCACAAAACGCTACAACAGGCCTACACCACATCCGCCCTGCGAATGGGGAAAGGGGGGTTTGGTGGAAAGGGAGGATTTTTGCTTCGTCACTTTGCAGTGCTACCTTGTGTACTAGTATTACCATTTGTAGTACCATGTACTGTTATTTGTAGTACCATTTGTAGTACTATTTATGGTACCATGTGCTACCACCTGCAGTACCATCTTTCCCACGAGCACCTCTGCCCCTGCCTCCCACCTGTGCATGCGCGCAACGCCAAGTATCATCTCAGGCAGCTCTTCTTCCCTGTTGCCCTGGATCACGAAGGCGTTCTCGAACACCAGAGTGTGCAGGCGCGCCGTGAACGACTGCAGGGCGCGGCGGGCAAGGTAGGCGTACGCGTGCACGTCCACGTCGATCTCCATGTAGCCCGGGCCGTGGTGGAAGGTGTGCTGGGGGCGGGTCAGCAGGGGCTTGCTGTTGTAGCTGCCCACCAGGTGTGCCTCCTGTGGGCAAGATTGTCACACTTCAAAAGAGGCGGCAAGTCGTACAATTGCCACCCCTGTCCTAGCAAGTGTGAGTGAAGCTCCTTTCCATGGTGCGAAGTGATGCAGAGTCTTTGGTGCAAGAACAGGAGCACCACAAAGAGCAAGAAAGGCCTCCTGCGAGGATTGGAAGGGAGCGTCAGTGGACAGCCAGATCGGGAGGATGACCAAAATGTCCATGGACAGCTGTCGGTGAACCACTGCTGGACAGAATTGCTCGATGTGCACTTTCTCGGTGCTTCTATTTCTGGCACTGGGCAAGCAAGTTCACACCCTGCTACCGCCCTGACAACCATCAGACGCTACCCCATTGGGCCGTGCCCGCAAGTATGTCTTACTGATCTGAAGGCCATACCGTGCCATGCGCCTTTCCATTGCTCCTTTCTTTTCCAAGCGATTTTATCCTGTATCTAGAACTTCCACAACATTTTGCACAACATGGATCACAGTCTGACAAAAGTTCTTCTTTCTGGGTTTGACGCCACTTGCATGCCACACTAGCTTAAGGTTGCCACTCATCTTCCATGCAGCCTCAGCACGCTTGTCTAAAAGGGTGCTGCCAGCATTTCTATGCAGACCAGTTCGAGAAACCAAGGATGGGAAACAATTCAACCCAATTCAGGGACTTCCAATCCAACCCCTTTGCTTTGTAATGAATTTGTAGCTGTGCAGGTCGTTGGGGTCGAATTGGTGTCCTGGATTGTGTGCTAGGTCCAGCCTCCACCTGGAGAGTGGGTATTCCCCCGTTTGGACTGAGCCCAACACCCGTACCTGAAAAGAACATTCAAAAAACAGCAGAAGGCAAATAGGACAGCTTTTAATAAAGTGCACAAAAAAAGAATAAGCAGTAATATAGGAATAGCAGTCAAGGTAAGAGCATACCGTTCTGGAGAGGGGCGCCTTCGCTGACCATTCCTCCACGTTGATCACCTTGGGTATGAGCTTCAGACGGTTCCGCGTCATGTCACCATTCTCCTCACGGCCGTTGTGCACGAAGCGCCGCAGCAGGCCCACAGCACCTTGGTTTTCCGCCTGCAGGGGGTTGAAGCCCTCGCGAAGGGCAAAGAAGTACACCATGCTGTGGCCAACACCATCGACGCCTCCAAACAGCGCTGGCTGGAAGCACAAAAAGGTCGCTGAATGACTGCATCATCACCAGCAAGAGCCAATCCAGTACAAGGACAACCTCTCATGGTGTGCTGTGACAACTGGGCAAAGTTGGATTCAAGCCACAGGTCACATAACACTCGGGTCAGTGGGTCAATGAAGATATGTGTTCCCACAGGCAGCGTGACAACTGCATGGCTGTGACACGTGTGAGCTAAGCCAACTGCCACGAGCTGGTTGTGAAGCCCCTAGGCTGCAGTAGCACCGTGCAGTGCATGCTGTGCCAAACTGCTACAGATGCCGCAAGCTGTGCTGTGACTAGGCATCTAAAGAACCTTGACTGACTGGTTCTGAGCTCCGACAAAGAGATCAGATGCTTGGACAGTGCCTTAATTCTGGCAGTCCTCCATGGCAACAAGAATTTCCCACATTCTGACATCATCAGAGCAAACGCAACCTAAAACAATGGTAGGTATCAATCTGTGCAACATTCTGTGCTGCTTCTTGTCTTTCCAGCAAGTTCTGTTGCACGCAATTTGAGTTGTGCAATTAGTCACTGGATATTAGATTGAAGATTTACCAATAACAATTTCCAATGAGGACAATTGGAGTGGGGTCGTCTCATTCTGCTACTTGCGTTCAGTTTGCAGTAAGCCGGAGTCCTACCTCGCAATCCCATCTGGTAAGTTATGTGCTTCTCATTCTAGCAAGCAATGCCCAGGCACACTGATCAAGAACCAGCAACATGAATAATGATGCTGCTCATACAACAGCGGTAGCGGCGGTGGCAATGACAACAGCACAGAAAGCATCAGGCTCCAAAAAGCGTTGTTATGCTCTGGTCTCAAGAGCAGCAAAGAACACCCTACAACAACACCAAGCCAGCCCAAGCAACATCTTGGAAATCATCACAGATCATCTTCACTTTCCAAGCGCTGCCCAACAAACAACACAGCTATAAATGCCAGGTAAGTCCAAGCCACCTGGTAAATCGGCAGCTGCACGTTGATGACCAACAGCACAGGTATGCCCAACTGCACGATCGCTGCCTGTTCCTCCTCGGTCCGCTTGTGCGGATCCTGTGGTAATGTGAGCCTCCTGGCGATGTGGTGCTCTTTGGTGTCGAAACTCAGCAGGTCCACATCCATCAGCTCATAGAAGCTTCCGGCACAGGGCTCCTTGAGCCTGTTCTTCATGTAGTGCCGGGAGCGTATCTTGTAGGTCGTTGGGTCGCCGGGCTCCCAGCACTCGGCAGCGGTGGAGTAGTCCTCAAGGGGGTCGAGGCGCTGACGAGACACAACTTGAGTGAGGCCCAGCTATAGGACAGGAGCGAGGTACTGGATGTGTGTCCAATTGACAGTAGAAAATGGCTTGATTGAAGTTTGTGGCAATCACATGACGACACCAATTCTGCAGAACTTGCAGGAACTACAGGCCCAACAGCATTAGACAGATTTCAGCCATTTCCCTTTTGAGCAAATGTGCACAAATGGTTGCGTCCTTTCTTCACCTGTGTTTCAAAGTTGTGCATCACATTCGACATGCTGCAAGGTGCGGGGGTGTGAAGGAACATTCATGGGGGAGTGGAGGAACATTTAGCAGGGGTAAAACGAGTGAATGTGAAACGTTGCTGGACTTTACAAGGCGAAGCACAGCTCGCCACTGTGTAAAAGCACTGTGCAGGGGGCACTGATGCAAGATTTTTGTACTGGCTAACCTGTAAGCATACATTCACTCACACCACAAGGTGCTCCTGGCTCAGCAGAAGAGAAGCTGGTTTCCTGCCATAAGGACGAGCAGATACAGGACAGGGAAATACACTCGTGCTAAAGAAGACGACTCCAAGAAGGTTGGCCTGAGGATGGCATGTGCAAGAACTCAAAAGAAGTACTGTGCTATGTTATACCCTTTCCACAGTGTAATGTAATGTTTTGCCTTTTTATGCAGAGCAACAACACAACCCAATAGTGCCAAGAAAATGTGGACCAGCCCAGCTGTGACATGGGGATCTCTGAGGTGTTCGTGGCATCTACTGTCCCCACAATCACGAGTCATTGTGGCAGAAAACTGGCATTTGAGGCTATGGGAAATGAGGGAAGTCGCCATTCACGCTGTGACCATGACGTGGAGTTCCCCCTAACAACCGTCAGTCGAAAAAATGTGCAGCAAAGTCGTAATGCTGGACTTTCAAAATGCGAAAGGGTTGAACATACTGAGATAGTCTGGCAGCAGTTGTTCCGGGATAGCACTGGAAAGGTTTGTTGCGTCCAGCTGTCTGGGGTAGCAAGCCTCATGGGTCAGGAAGGGTTCTTCAGGGTGATCAAAGTGCCTTTACGACATCACAGAAGGTGGGGATTGTGGATGGGACCAAAGTACTGATTGCATGGGTCTCGCACCATTTTGTCACACAAGCAAACATGTTAGAATCAATGGCCAACCCACCTCTACATGCACATGCACAGCAGCTAATCTGCCCTGCGTTATACCATGTGCAGGTGCTGCAAAACTCAAACATATCCAACACACATCTGATCACACAAATCAGTTGGTACAGCCGCTGCCCCAAACTAGCGCTACCCAGTGCCTCCTCACTGTTTCTCCTCTTCCAGAGCGTGGAGAAGGTGACTGGAGACGCTCACAGGCAAGGTGGAAAATCGGCACACTGGTCATTTCACACGTCCCTGCTGAACACAGATACTGCAGTAGATACTGCAGCAGTCAAACAGCTTCCGTCTGCTAGCGGTCTACCATAATCTCACAACAATTGGCAGAAACCCCACCCTCACTAAAGTACGCAAAAAAGCGTCCCCCACCTGCAGAGAGGCCCCCGCTTGTGGCTTAGTGGGGTAGCGTTTTCGGTGGGCCTTTTTTCCCCTGTGGCTGGCCCCGAGGGAGGGCCCCCTCAGCAGCGAGAGGCATCCAGACAGCCGCTGCAGCTGTCCCACCTGTTCGCCCGCCGCCGACGATGTCGAGACGCTCTCACCATCACGCTCGACAGAAAGAACATCAGCAACCTGCTCATAGGAAAAGCAACACTTAGAATCGCACCACAGTACAATGAATATAACAAGCAATAGTAAACAGACAACACAGCACACGTACAATATGAATGGCACTGTCTAAACGTTTCCCATCAACTGATCTAATCATGAAATGGCAGGAGTCCTGGTTATGTTGTCCCCCTTCCAGTTCCTTCGATTCAGCCGTTGGCACCCCTCGTGCCTGTGCTGAGAAGCAGCAAGGGCTTGTTGGAGCTACATAATGAATACAAATAAATGCATAAATAACAAGTAAATATGAATAAATATGAACAGACAAATTTGCGATTGGTTCATTGCAAAACCGCTGAGCTTGTTGTCAGGTCTGGCTGAGTTGGTGTGTCTTGCGTTCAAGCAGAGGTGCCTTTTTTCCAATGTATTTTAGGCTGATCTAAGCAAGGAGCTCCCCCACAAATGTTGAAGCACAGGTGCTTCAACATGTACCTTATAAGAAAGACAACACACTGGTGCACAGCCAACAAACTGTCAAAGACAGAACAATCAGAGTTGGGTGGGAACATGAGAGGTTCTCTTGCTGCCACGCTTGATGGACAGAGCATTAGCAAACTGTCCATCGGAACACAAAATCTCAACGCTCACGAACAACAGCTTGTGTGCAGATTCATAACACAATAATATGATGATTAACATCAACTGAACCACAGTTCAACTTCTCAACTGCATGTATGTGCGTACTTGCATCTGTACACAGGGCAGCTAATGTATCAGAAAACTACACAACAAAATTTGCCAAGCGCGACAACAATGGAAAATGTACTGTTGACGATTCTCTGACATGCACGTTGCGGTGCTTGTGTCCATACCTCTGGGGGCGACTTGGCACCATCTGAGGTGGTGTCCTTATTGGAAGGGACAGGGGCAGTCTGGCCACGTCGCGATAGCGCGTCCTGCAGGGCCAGCACAGGCAAGCTGTCGAAACTCAGTGATCCATGCTCGGCACCAAAACTCAGCATTGAGTTGACCAATGCCCTCCACTCAACAGCTGGCACTCAGTGCTTGGTGCATTCTGGGGCTGCACACCTTGCAGGTAAGAGCTCAATTGCACAACCTTCCATGTCCTCCGCACCCAACAGCTTATGTTTCTTACTTGGTGTGCAACATGGTGCGCACCAAGCACTTCAGCACTTCGCTAGTTCTGTCATGCAAACTCAGCAATTACTACTCAGCACTTAACATTCGATGTCCTCCACATACAGACGACGGAGCCAACACCCAGTGCACATAGCTGGTTCTCAGCAAACTTCCGCTAGATGACAGGAAATTGCTGCAGCTTTCCGCCCACCGATGTTGGTTTCTTCCAGCTGCGGCTAGTTGTCAATAACATTCTACTGGATGTCAGCAACTGCTGCCAGATGCTTGCGCACTATTGCTGGCGTGAACACTCTGTGAATGTGTCACCGCTGCCATGAACAGAGCCATTCTGGCATATTGGTGCTCAATTCTATCGCCTTTGGCCTGCTTACCCACAGGTTGGAGATCATTCCTGGAAGCGGTTGGGACGACGTCAAATCCGGCGAGGATGACACGTCCATACTGGACTGAATCGAATGCTTCACCAGGCCATCTTTATTGATCGCTCGGCCGTCGGAACCTGGGGAATATGAAACAGATGATTAGCCACAGTGTACCGCAAGACTGCTGATAATAAAATACTGAAAAATGCTGCAATAATAACACAATTCAAATCACATAATAGCAGTCCAATATTATGCTGAAGACGTGCGCCCAGTGAGCAGAAACAGCAGCGGCTGTTGTGTGGATTCGAGAAAGGATTGCCCAGGAGGCAAGGACACAAGATTCGAACGATTGAGACCTTCTGCAAAGCTCGAAGACTTGGGATTAAGCTGTCATGCCTGGGTGATTAACTGCCATCAAACTGCAACAAATTGCCTGCTCGATGGCTGGGAACACACCAGCGATGGAGGGGCAAGCGTACCTGTAGCATCCGAAAACTCCGATATGCAGTCATAATAATCACCATCGCCTGTGGACAAGACAATGGCCAGGCTGCACTTCAGCACAGTCCAGGGAATCCACCAGAGGGCGTGGGTGTGTGTGTGTGTGTGGAGGTGGCAGTCAAGAGCTAAAAACAGCATTGAGGGCTGCGCACACAGAACTGGCTGCTGCAGCCTCTGTTGCTGAGCCTTACCACTCAGTAAGTTCCGCACAAAAATTCTCAAGGATGCATCCCAAAGGCTACACCATGCACAATGATACTGTGTGCCCTATTGCGCTTTGCCCTGATACACTCAAGGCTTTCCTTACTCGACATCAGGATCTCAGTCCTCCGATCAGCAGTGGAGCAAGACGTCCTGCCACTCCTCTCCTGGCTCTTCAATGCGACATCGCCAGGCGAGCCTGCAGGTTGCCACCAGTGTCCAGATCAGCGACCCCGCCGAAGTATCTGGATAGCATCAAGATAGTATCTGGGTAGCGTCTGCAGGCTAGTATCAGGGATCAGGGATAGTATCAGGATAGTACCAGGATATCTGGATAGTATCAGGACCAAGAAATGAGCCCTCACAAGTTGAGGGTTGTGATGGGCACTTCACTAAGCCCGTGTGCCAGCGTCCAGAGCCACAAGCCCCAGTCCTCACAATGGTGGAACAGAGTGAGGAGCTCTGGACTTGAGTTGCGACGATTGGGAAACAGGCAGACTCTGTCCAGTTCCATGGATTGCACGCTTGTCACAAAATGACAAAGCAAGCTACTCACCAAGCTGGCATTGCGGGCGAGCTCATGCTGTGGCTGCTTAGGTGAAAAGCAGCGGCCCATTCAGGGTATGAATTTTGAGGATGTGGACCTACTGGGATATCTATCAACACGGGAGGGTCACATTCCATTTTCCAGAGCGGATATGGTATCTAAGCTGAAGACCAAATGACAGTGTGTCTATACACACTGTGCGTGTTACATGCCAGATATATCACACAAGGTGCACGCTACTGGTTTCCCCACAAACGGTTTGCTCTCTTGAATGCATTGGCGCGCACAAAAAGCACTGCAACTGCACCTGGAAGGCGATTATGAGCACATTTGCATGCATCGCATTTGCTCAAAGATGTTTGTTCATAGGCCTCAGTACCATACCCAACGAGGAAAATTCACATATGCACTAGAGGCACGGCCAAGACTTTAGACACCGGAGCAGTATGTTGGATTGAGCTTTGGCTGGACTGATGCTCGAGGCACCACACGTGTGGAGCCATTCTTGCTCTCAGTTGCTTCTTCAGTCAGTCTCCACCACCCTAAGGATGCCATTTTATCCAGCAAGAGCACACACTTGTGGACACTTGACACCCCCACACATCCCACCAAACGCCTCACTGCTCGCCAACTCTCAGCAGGCAGCAAACCCTGGGGAACCTTCTGCACCCCTAGTCCTCTCTATCATTTCTTTACAGCATGAGAAAGAGAGCCTCATAGTCATTTGCTTCTTCTGAGGGTTTGCCCTTTGTGTAACATGTTTCCTTCTGTCTGCAGCAAATCGTACCCTGCTCCACAAAACTTAATTCGGCACCCAGCTCGATGCCGCCCACCCTCTCACCCATGTATGGCCTGTTTCTTTCTCTCTGTAGCAAATCTCACCAAGACAAAACATCCCCATTCCCAAACCCTTCTTGATCCAGCCTGACCCTCACACACACCACTGCGCAGCAACGTTCCTGCACCCTCCTCGCTCCCCGGCGCCTTCTCACAGTATGAAGATGAATCTTCCGGCAGAAGGAGTCTTGCATTCATTTGCTAATGAGGGGTTGCCCTTTGCATGACCCATTTCCCTTCCTCTCTGCAACAAATCTTGCTCCCCACGCAACCCATACACCACATTCACGATTCCAAACCCTTCTTCATCCAACCCCCCACCCCCACGCTCTATATCATCTTTTCACAGCATGGAACAGAGGCTCACATACACTTGCCTAGGAGGGGTACCCTTTGTATGACCTGTTTCTCTTTCTCTTTTGCAACAAAACTTAATTCCCCCCACCCACCTACACCAACAACCCACCCACCCACACCACCCACCCACCCACCCACCCACCCACACCAACCACCCATTATTTCATTCTTGCCGAAGGTGGCAACTACAGCACTGCAAAGCAGAACAGGGTCCGCTGAATGCTCGATGAAGAGGGAGTGCTTCACCATGTGACCTGCGTTTCTGGGATTTCAAGTTCGGTACATCTTGACGCCCACACCCACCCGGTATACTTTGCTCAAGAGGGGGTGGCCCATAGTCTGACCCGTGCTTCCGGAAACTTGCAGCACATCTCGACCCACACCCACCAGGCCGTGGCGACGCCGCTCCCTCCGACCCCCTGCCCGACGCCCCGCTCCCTCCCTGGCTCCCCTTGCCGCCATGCCGCCCCTTGCCCGTCCTCCTCCGCCTGCCCCTCAGGCCGCACCCCAGGCACGCGCCCAAGCCCATGCCCGCGCCCGCAGGATCCCCCCTCTCTTAAGAGAAGACCCCGAACTTGACGTCGAATTCACCGCTGGGAGCGCAAAGGAGGGGAGGGGTTGGGGGTGGGGGGGAAAGCGATTAGAGCCTTGGGAAAAAGGCGCACGGATGCCGATCGACGATTCAATTGACGGCAGGGAAGTCGGCAAAGGTGGGCCCGATCGCTGGCTGGCGCGAGCCGGTCGCCAAGCGCGGGTGCTGCTGGCTGGGGAGGGCGCTGCTCCGGTGCGTGGACGGGGTGGCGTGGAGGGTGGGTCGGTTGTGGGTCTGAGAGGCTGGGGGGATTACGCAATGTGCGAATTGGGCCAGGCCACACGCTGGCGCTCGCCTGCCCATGTGCTCATCCTTCGGTGCACGCCCACGAGGCCATTGAGGACATTAAACACGGGTGGCCTAACCCAACCCGTTTCCAGTCAGTGAAAGTTCAACCCGTGACTCGTACTCAGACTCACACACACACACACACCACCGTTGCATCCCCAGAGTGACCACTCGGGTGCACCAACGTCACCGCGGTGACGTACTCTCCAGTTTGCCAAACGTCTCTCTTACATAATGTCAAGCCACAATATCATAGGGATGAGGTGGGCGGGAGCGAAAGAAAGAATAGAGCATCCTTTCGCCACACCTCTAAGTCCGTGCCCCAACCATTACAACCCTTGTGAGTAACCTTTCAACACAAGTTACTCACAGACCGGTGGGCACCCCACGTGTCCAGCCGGATTACACACTTTGCCTTTCGGTCACTGACTGTCCCACGTGAGCATGACCAATTCTTTGGTAGGTGTGACTCGCTCATGGCCGCCCTTAGTCCCAAAGGGCGGCACTTGTACCAGCAAGTCTCACACCTCCTGTAAACTTCCCTTCATTCACTGACGTCAATTACGTTAATATTATTGCCTGCACCAAATCGGTGTAGGCACTAATTCACGTGCACACTGGGTTCTCACCTCCGTTTTAGGGCTAGGCTTAGTTTTAGGTTGAGTTTTAGGGCTAGGGCTAGGGTTAGGGTAGGTTTAGTTTTAGGTTTTAGGGTTAGGTTAGGTTAGTTTTGGAGGGATTTGGTGCAAGCAGTCACTGATTCGGTGCAGAAAGTCACCGATTTGGTGCAGCCAGTAATTTTGTGCCGCCTTTGAGCGCGCTGTACCAGAGTGGGAGTATCGGTAGTGCCGGACAGGGAGCATTGGGAGTATCTGCGGTAACGGTGAGATTGCGGGATGGTGTCGGTATGATCAAAAGAGTGGGGTGGGGTTGGGGATTACTCGAGTCCGTTACCAAGGGAATCGTGGCGGGGTGGACGGCGTTTCAGCGCGGATGGCGAAGAGGATGTCTGATCTGGGATCGAACCGGGTATCGCTGGGCGGCATGCTTGGTTTTACGGTGTAAACATTGAGTATTCATGTGTAGAAATAGTGCTTACGTTTTCGTGCACAAATATGCATAAAATGCGTAAATTTTGACGCTGTTCACATAAAGACAGTACATGCAGACTCAGGGAGTCCGGGTAATGGCAGCTAGGCGTGTTGTAGTGGGCAAAAAACGACCTTTTGTTAGTCCACGTCTTCGCCCTTGCTGAGGGCGAGGTGGCGCCGTGTTGCCGGTGCCAGAGGAGGAGGAGGACTGATCACTGTTTGCGACATCTTCACGCGACCTAGTATTCCCGACGAGCCGTGAAAATACACAAATGCAGCCGATGAAATAACCTCTTTTTGCAATCTTACATTTCCCCACGTCAAAACGTAAACGCAAAGACCAAGCATGCTGGGCGGGGTGTCCCACTACTCTACCAAACCAACTGGACCAGTGACAAGAAAAGGGTTGTCCAACCCCTTAAGTACCCTTCCAACCCAACTGACGGTTTTCGACGCTCGCCGCTCAGTGTTATCAGGGCGTGTCCCTTTTGGGCGTGTATGGCGTACTTGCGTGTCGTAAGTGCGCCAAAAGCGGATGCTTTCGTCGTGCGTCATCAATTGAGGCAATTGTGCACCCGCCCGCGTCGTCCTGCAATGACCGCCGTTTCGCTGGGTGGGTCGTCTGTGACAATGGTGGATGATAGGACCCTGGCCAGGGACCCATGAGGTAAGGGCGCTTTACGTTGCACGGGATTGTCTGAGCACGCCACTGTTGCACGACAAGATGGCGACCGCACTGATCGCGGGCGGCAATACCAATCTCGTTGGCCAAATTTCACTGGCAAGAAAAGGACCAAATTACACTTTTGCGAACACACATAAAACACATTTCATCAAAGTTCTGCACACTAAGAACACAAAAAAAAACAAACACGTAAATTTTGTACACGTTTGAGCTCGTTTTACTTGACCCTTTTTCTCCTAATGAATTTGGGGATCAGAGCTAAATTAGAAAGATAGGGAGTTCAGACATCTTGGGTAACAAGTTTGATTGCTTCAGCTAATTAGCTATTATAATAGCTCAAGCAGCTGCCGTGCTTCTTCACTACTTCCTCCGTCCAAGATAAATTGTCGTCTATGGTCTGGGATATTATTTCTGCATCGCACCTACATCAGTTTTCAATGAAATTCCACCCAAAATTGTGTTTGTGAACAGGAGCATCCTTGCAGAATTTCAAGTCAATCCATTGAATATTGAGGATTTGGCAGTACTTTGTATCAAGGGTCTTGCAACTAGTAAACCTCGACATTCGGAGTCAAAAATGACCAAAATTTATCTTTCGTCTAGCATTCAAAGGGCTATTGTATCATTATCTCTTCTTGAGAATTGGTAGGTAAGAATTCTGGAACTCAGTCTTTCCAATTTTCTAATTTCGAAGCCGTCTTCTTAACAAATTGTGTCTTTCAAATAAAGGCAATTATTCTGAGACAGAGGAAGCATATCGAAATCAGCCCCTGTTAAGGTTAGTCGGCGGGGCGACGGCTCAAACCGCTCCCTAAGCGAGCACTCGAGCTTGGAGTGCTCACAGGAAGTTTGGAAACCACACTCAACGCCATTCCAGCGACACCCGCGCGCAGCTAGCTCGTTCTCACATGTTCTGATATCTGGCTCCAACTTTGAATCACAACTTGCCTGGGAGAAAGCAGGACCAGGTTATTGCCTGCCTCACAACTGCCCACCTGCCTATTTGCATCATCGGGATCCTCGTCATCCTCAAACTCACATACAGCAGTTCGGCCCTGCCAACTGAGTGTCCACAAAGACGTCCTTTGAACTAGACAGAAGTTTGGAGTATGGGTTACTAGAGCGCGCACTCCCCACCTCAACCAAGAAAGTCATGGTGCAGAAAACATATCAAGATAGAAGTCCGGTCTTTCAACATTGCTCCCCCAGTCAACAGCTCTGCATTCCCCATTACTCAAATTGCTCATATGGCCACTCGAGGGGATAAAGGCATTTTCAGGCTAAACGAATACAATAATTGATCAAAATACTGTGGAATTGTGAACACACTTCCCCTATTGCCGCACAGGTTGCGTTTTGGCAAGATATTCTGGCCAAATCATTTCTTTCGAAAACTGCATAATGCTTATCAGCAGAAACTCTGCTATCTCAAACAAACATGAATGCATTCGAAAAGCCATCCCATGAGGCATGTCTGACCAAACAAAACCAGCGCTGTGTAGACACAGCTCATTCACAACTTCAATAATATCGTAGCGACGCATGTTCCGCCCAACCGTAGAAATTCAATCGATTTATCGAAATGCAGAGCAACCGCCATCCATGCATGCATCGTGTTGCAACACTATGGACCCATCTAGCGAAACGGTGGTTACCAGGCGGCTGTGTGAACACTCCCGAGAGTCTATGGCAACTTTAGCCATTTAAATTTGAAAGCATCATTCAGTCGGGAGGAGCCTGAATACATTAGACTCAGCAGATCGGAGAAGTGGAGGTCGAAACACCCGCGGGAAACACCGCTCTTGCGGTGCCAGCTGCGAACCCATTCGGCAGTAGTAGATTACATGGCAGTAAGTCTTGTTACTTGTAAGTACGTAATTACGTTTACGTCTCCTGCGAAGAGGAAGCGCCCCAGTGACGCCCAGCAAGCGTCATTTACTGTCAACTGCCGTTCCAAGAATGGCTATTTCCACCAGTGCCAGCGGCACCCATTCCACCAGACACGGCGGTGGAGGTGTGGATACTCCACCGAAGACTCCAAGCGCCTGTCTGATAGTGCTGCTGCGTTTTTCAAATGGTGCTACCAGAAACTTCTCACGGCAGCGTCTTTCAAAGCGACGCGAACATCGCTCGAAATGCTGTGCGCGTGATGTGCCCAGCACAGCCGCCCCCAGCCTTCTTTTGGCTATTGCGCAGCGAGGTAACAATCCCCTTCCTCCAGACTTCCCGCGGTGGCCCTGGCACGGGAACCTGAACCTGTGGCACCCGCGGGCACCTCGCCATGACGGTGGCTCCTTCTGGGAAGGCAGGGACTGCGAACATCCCCGAATTCTGAGATCCCGAACCATAGCTGAAATGCTCATTATCGCCAATCAATACATTGCATACTGGGCAGCATTCCCATTTTGATGGGGAGCGAAGGCGCGTTTGAGGGGTGCATACCAACAACTCCAGCATGGTTGTCCTTCAGGGGGGTGCAACGAGTAGAATACCTGGCTCTGTCCCAGATTCAATAAGCGGGCTGCGATCTTCATTGACTTCAAGTAGGGGCTCCGTCACCGGGAAATGTCGCGGCGTTGTGTTCTCTCAGAATATCGAAGCACGCTGCATCTTCAAGCGATATTTTTGCCGATGGCGCTCGTGGTTGAAAAGCGGAAGGCACCTCCATAATCAACCCTGAACAGCCAGCGCTTTCCGAAGCTTGAGCAGGAGTCATCAGTGCAGTACGTTATAGCAACGCAGGGAGCTGCTCTACACGCACAAACGCACAGACAATGTCGCCTCAGCACCTTCCCACTGGAACACCTCATCCATCTCAGGGGGACCGCTCATGTCTGTACTCCTGCGCTAGGTAATCCAGGAAGCATTAAAGC